TTAAATATACAGTATTCTGACAGAAGAGGGCGTCCGATCTCATTACAGATGGTTGAGTCATCATGTGGTTGCCGGGAATTGAACTCAGGACCTTTGGAAGAACAGCCAATGCTCTTAACTGCTAAACCATCTCTCCAGCCTTTACTTTTTTAGTGGTGTGTGTATGTGTGTGTGTGTAGATATATGTGTTTGAGTAGAAGTGCCTGAAGACATCCAAAAGCAGGTGTCCAATTCCCTGGATATGGAGGATGGGAGCGTCCTGACTTGGGTGCTGGGAACCAAATTTAGGTCCTCTGCAATGGGAAATAGTCAAGCTATTTCATCAGCCCTCCGCTCCCCCCCCCCCCTTTTTTTTTGAGACAGGGTCTCATGTAGCTTAGGCAGGTCGCAAACTGTCTATATAGCTGAAGCTGCCCTTGAATTCCTGATGCTGCCTCCACTTCCAAGTGCTAGGTTCATAAGCATGTTTGACTTCCAGGCCACATCCTGACAGGGTTCTAGGTGTCCCTCGCGGCCCTGAACTTTTGGTTCAGTGTCTCTGTCTCCCCAGTGCTGGGATTAAAGGCAGACACCAGTACCCGGGCCTGGAATCTGCCTTTTTATTGTGATGTGTTCCTTACAAAAACGACGCTTGCTACCCATCAAGACATCTATGTGGACTGTTGCTGAACTTGACTGGCAGGGAAGCCTTAGATGGCCCGAGGGTTGCAGCAGGGACTTACCGGACCACACCATGTCCGGGCGGGTTCACATGGACAGTAGACTTGTGCCAGCCGTCCTGGGCCAGCGCAGCCCGGAGCGCTAATCAACACGAAGGGCCAAGAAAGCAGAGACCTCGTGGTCCCAACGCGTACCGCGTGCCTCTTACGTCACTACAGAGCAGCTCCAGCTGGAGAAGCGCCAAAGGCAATCGGTTGCTAGGCAACAAGGTAGCAGCTCCCAATGAACTGCCAGCTTTCGGCTGAGAGCGGGAAAAGGAGAGGCATGTGGTTTGAGTTTTCTAAGTACGGCTTGTTTTCTTTACTCTTACTTATTTTCTTCTAGTTTCCTTCCTCTTCCCTTTCTTTCCCGTAAAGCCCCTTTCCCTTATTCCACCTCCTTTCTCCTTCCTGTCCTTTCCCATCCCCTTTCCTACCCTTCAGGCATGCTGATTGGCCAATCAAACAGAGTAAAGGTAGGAAGAAGTCCGCTAGCGTGCGCCCCTTCATCTACCCCAGCGAGTGTCTCTTGCTGCAGCTGAAGCCTTGGGCATTAGACCCTAACTTCTCCAGATTGACGGTGGCTGGATCGTCCGTTCCTCTTAGGATTTTTTTTAAAGATTTATTTATTATGTATACAGTATTCTATCTGCATGTATGTCTGCAGGCCAGAAGAGGGCACCAGATCTCATTACAGATGGTTGTGAGCCACCATGTGGTTGCTGGGAATTGAACTCAGGACCTCTGGAAGAGCAGCCAGTGCTCTTAACCACAGAACCATCTCTCCAACCCTCATGGTTTTTAATAAGTACAAAGCAATGTTTCTTTTCTTCTCTTTTTAAAAAAGTGTTTTTTGAAGTAGCTTAGCCCAGGTTGGCCTTGAACTCCTAAGGGCAGGGCTGAGGTTGCAGCCATATGCCACCCAGCTAGTTTTATGAAATGCCAAGAAGCCCATGGCTTTGAGCATGCTGGGCAAGCATTCTTCAACCATGCTGCAGCCCTTTTCTAGGGTATTGAAGCGGAGGACTACGGAGTACAAACTGGTCTCAAATGTGTCGTCCTCCTGCCTGTTTCCCAAAGTCAGCATGACAGGTGCACACAATCTAGACCTGCTTCTTCATCACCCCCATCTTCTGCAATGCTGCAGAGAACCCACAGCCCTGTGCTTGGCAGGCAAGCACTCAATCTTTGAACTACACCTCCTCACAAACTGTGGTGGTTTGACTATAAATGGCCCCTGATTGGCCCATAGGGAGTGTCAATATTAGGAGGTGTGACCTTGTTGGAGGAAGTGTGCCACTAGGGGTGGCCTTTGAGGTCTCAGAAGTTTAAGTTTTCTGCTGCCCACAAATCCAGATGTGGATCTCTCAGCCATCCCTCCAGCGCCCCTCTGCATGCATACCGCTATACCTCCTGCCACAATCATGGACTACACTTCTGAACTGTAAGCCAGCCCCAATAAAATGTCTTTCTTTATAAGAATCGCTGTGGTCATGGTGTCTCTTCACCAATGTTTCTTTAATTGTAATTTTAACATTTGTGTGCATATGCTTTTCTGTGCATACAGGTAGCCACAGAAACTAAGAGTGTAGGATCTCCTGGAGCTGGGCCTACAGGGAGTTGTGAGCTACCTGGTGTAGGTGCTGGGAGCTGAACTAGGTCCTCTGGAAGAGCAGCAAGTATTCTTAAGCACTATGCCATCTCTCCAGCCACTTTGTGTATTTAATTTTTTTTTTATTTTAAAAAGGAAGCAAGTCGGGTGTGGTGGTTCATGCCCTTAATCCTGACATTCAGAAGGCAGGAGGAGGATCTCCAAATTCAAGGCCAGCCTGGTCTACAGAACTAGTTCCAGGACAGCCAAGGCTACACAGAGAAACCCGGTCCTACAAAAAAATGGTGTATCTTATGGGTATGTGTGTGTGCTCGAGTATATGCATATGTACTACATATGTGTAGGAGCCCGAGGTCAATGGTTGGTGTTTCGATACCCGGGAACTGGAGTCAAGGTGGTGGTGAGCTGTCGTGTGAAGACAAACAAGACAACGGAGCCCAATCCTCAGGGCCACTCTGTCGCCCCTTGCTCATCTCTGCTCTCCGTGGCCAGGATGACATCTTTATTGGAAAAATTGAAAACACAGATGCAATGTATTATACAAAGAAAGGTTTTCATTCCATAACAAAAGCTCTGTTGGGAGGAAACAGGAGCTGGTGGCCACCTGCCCTGGGAAGGTAGGCACGCAGTGAAAAGTGAAATTCACTGATAGGAACTGTTCTAATGGAAAACTGTGGAAAAGGTTAAAAACAGAAGGGGGGCATAAACGAACAAAAAACAACCCCATCCCTGCAAGTTTGAGAGTCTGTTATAAGCTTGAGACATTTAGGTTATCACCAAGATTTAGTGGGATTCCTCGGTTTGTCCCTAGAATGCTAATCAGTTTAACTTAGGGTCTTCAAACCTGAGGTAGTTGAGGGTCACCTGAAAAATATGTCTGGAAGGTTCTATATGCTCGGAACTGGATCCAGCCCCATCTAACCAGCCGTTTCTGGCTTTGGCTACTGCGAGAGGAGGCTCTCCACCACTGTGGTGGCCAGTCCCATGCTGGGCTGGACCTGCAGGACAAGGGTGGCGAACAGATGTTCTGGATCGCGGCTGATGGCTTCCATCAGACAGTGTGGTCTCTGAGAACCCAAGAGGTGGAGGCAGGGCAAAGCCACTCTGTGTGGAAGGCCAATATCGAGGATCCAAGATGGCAGAGAGGGCAACGCTGCTCCGGTGGGAGGATGATCCAAGATCATGCAGCGATGGCAAGGCCACCCTTATTGGCAGGCCAGGGTTGGGCCCAAAGGCTTGCTTTTATAGCAAGGTTCTCAGAGATCTGGAAAGGCAATAGTGTAGCTTGACTTTTGCCAGCTTTCAAAAATTAGGGTTATGCCGGGCGGTGGGGGCAAGGATCTCTGTAAGTTCGAGGCTAGTCTAGTCTACACAATGAGTTCCAGGACAGCCAGGGCTACACAGAGAAACCCTGTCTCGACCCCCACCCCTCAAATGAGAGTTAAATAGTGCAGGAGACCCTCCTACAACCAAGTCGCTGACGAAGAAATAAAAGCTTCCTTAGACACAAGATGAGAAGCAACTCCTAAGGTGAGAGAGGTCACAGCAGCCTAAGGTGACAGTGATGAGTGCTTGTGACCTCAAGTTACCTGGTATAGCCACACCCGTTCTGAGACAGGACACCCTGGAGGTGTTTGGCTCTCCCAGATACTGGGTTAAGGGCACATACATAGGCTGGATTCTAGGAACAGCATTGTGGGCAGGACAGTAAACAAGCCATTTAGGTTATAGTCTAATTTATTCTTCGGTCTTTTTTGAGATAAGGGCTCAGCATATAGCCCAGGCTAGACCTGAACTGATGATCCTCCTGCCTCCGATTCCCAAGTGCTGGGATTGCAGGCATGTACCGACAAGCCTGGCATGGCCATTTAAATTCCCTGCTCAGATATGAACTAACCCCACAAAGGCAGATCTTCCTTGCAGACATATCCTTAATCTTGAGGCAGTACAAAACTACACCAAGATAACCACGAGACACAGCTGGATTGGAGTTTCTTACCAACCCATCTGAGCCATTATTTTGTCCAACTTCTATCTTGAAAAAATACTTTTAAGAGTCCCTTTTACTCAAACATATGTGCACGCCACCAGTAGAGGGCATTGCATCCCTCGGAGCTGGAGCTAGAGGTGGTTCTGGAGCACATGATGTGGGGGCTGGGGTCAGAACAGGGGTCCCCTGGAAGGGAAGGAAGTGACTGCTGAGCCATCCCTTCAGTCCTCCAGGTCCCTGTGCAGAGTATCTGCCCAGCAGTCTTTAGTCCACGGAGCCTCGGGAGGGCTTTAAAAAGCTGAGGAGTTCCTTCTGGGCGGCAAGAATTTTCAGAGTTTGGTATGTCCGGCCATTGGGTTAAAGACTCATGTTTAGGTAGCAGCAGAGCCAACAAATTATGGTCTAGGCTGAGTGAGATGGCTCACACCTTTCATCCCAACACTTGGGAGGCAGAGGAAAGGGCATCTCTGTGAGTTTAAGGACAGTGAGATGTATGTAGATACTTTAAGGCCAGTCAGGGCTATTTAGTAAGACCCTGTCTTTAAAAAAAGGTATATATAGTTTATACACACATAAATAATCCAATTTTTATTAAATTCTTTTTTTTTTTTTTTTTTTTTTTTGAGACAAGGTCTCAGAATGTAGCCCATGTTTCTCTGTGGCTTTGGAGCCTGTCCTCTCGGTCTCCTTTGTACCAAGATTAGGCCTTGTGCACTACCAGGCCTGGCTAAAGAAAGGCAATTCCCGACTTGAATCACACTAAACAGTTCTGATGCGACGCTGAGCAGGTAGGACCCTTGTGCTGTTGATTCACCTCGTGCTGGGACGCTTGACTGTTTCGCTTAATTATTAGGGTTTTAGAGACGAGCCCTGCTCTGTTGCTGTTTGATTTCCTCTTGCTGGGACATGTGTGTGCGTGGTTCGATGCTAGCGGTCACCTTTGGAAAAGCTGACCTGCAGTGAGCACATGGATTGGCTTCATGGGCAGAAACGGCCAACAATGCCACACATTGCTTGTTCTGGTCCTCAGACTCAGGAAATGCTAAGCAGAGAAACATTCTTCCGACACCAGACTGGGCCATTCCTACTGCAGGTCACGTGTCTCAGCAGCCGTCTGCGTTGCTGGGAGTTCCCGGAGTGCCAGCTTAGAAAATACTCGGGGACAGAGTGGGGGCGGGTGGAACAAGAAGAAGGGGGTTGATTCACAGTGATCAAACATTAGCCTCACCACCCGGTGCCCAGCAAAGCCGAGCCGTGTCCCACAGGGGACAGGCTTAAGGACGTGCTCGCTGGCTGCCACCTAAGCAGCACAGATCAAGAAGGAAGACGCCACCTCCCTGCTCCGTCCTACAGATCAGAAGGCCACTTCATTCAGCTCAGCGGTTCCAGTTGCGAGTGGCAAATTGCTGTCCGGCTGCTAGTGTCTAGGCGGGATGTCTTCTGTCTCCATCCTGTCTTCAGGGGAGCAAGAGTGGGGCGTGGCAGAGATGGTGTCACAGCCGGCGGTCCCCTTCCTCCTCTTCCCTGCTTCTCTATTCCTCGAGGAACCTGCCTGCTTTAGAATCCGAGACCAGAAATGACCAGAGATGGCTCTTTGCTCTGTGGTCTGTGAAGACTTGACGGCAGAGGGCAAGCCTAGTCAGTCACCCTCGGGCCTGATTGCCCCAAGCATCCCTGGGCAGGTGTTGTATGAAGATCGTTAGTAATAAATACGAAGAGTCCTACCCTGAGCCGAGTTCCCTTCCTGATGGGAGCAAGTGGGTCTGTGGAAGAAGTAGCACACGGAACCATCTTTTATCTGGTTCAGTAGGATGCAGAAGCAGGTGGCTGGAAAAGGAACCACTTCTGGGTCCCTTTTGTCCCTCTTAGGGCCTTGCCTAGGTTTGATGGGAGGTGGTCCATGGCACAGGAAGTCGGCTCTGGGGGATGTAGTGTTGCTACTCACACCAGCTCTATACCGGCATGTGATGGGGTGGTAAACCTGGTCACATGAGCTCCTAAGAAAATGTCCCCTGCACTGCTGGGCCCCTGGCACCTTTTTTTTTTTTCCTTTTCTTTTCTTTTCTTTTTTTTTTTTTAAACCTCTGGTGTTCCCTGGCTTGTGAAGGTGGACAGAGGCCCCGAGATGGCACCCGGGGTCAGACAATAAAGGCACTAGCTCTGCTTCAGACTTCAGAGGAGAGCTGTCACTCTGGGCGTGGTCTTGACTGACAGAGAGCTGAGATGGCACACCAAGGCATAGCCTGAGCTGCACTGTGGTGTGTGTGGGGGCTTCCTCTCAGAAGGCTCAGAGCTCAGGATGGGGGTGGGGGTGGGGGCTGGAACCCTTTTTGGGAGAGTTGGCCGTGTGAAACTTTCAAAATATAAAACCAAAATAACCAAACGACCACCAAATAGGAAGCAGGAGGGGATCCGCCAACTGCTAAAAGTGTAGTGTGGAGGGGGGGGCCGCGGCTCTGGCGCTCTCTGCCAGGACACTCCTGTCCCTCTGCCTGTGGATTCGGGTGGCAGTCCGGTTTGCAATCCAGCGGAGTTCTGATGCTCACAAGTTTGTGCGAATGACAAAATGCAAAGACTGAGGAGGGGGGAGAAAAAGAAGAGGTGTCAGATGTCCCCTCTCCACGCTCCCAACGACAAGAACCCTCTCTACGCAGGACATGACCGGTGAGGAAGTAGAGAGCAGGCGGGAGAGGTTGGCCATGTTGCTGTTTTTCTGTGAACCTGAGCTTGCTCGTGGCCAGCACTGGCCTGCCTAGACGTCAGGGCCATAGGGAAGGACTCATCATGTACCCAGACAGAGGAGGAGTCATGAGGGGACACGGTAGGCTTCAGCTTTTGTCAGTAGAGGTCTGCAAGGACCTGGTGTGCCAGGGCGGGGACTGTCACAAACAGAAGGGGAACAGGGATTTACATTCTGACGTGTGGGGCGCTGGCGTGGCTCTACTCTTTTTCAGGTGTTGCTTCTTGAACAGTAGCCGGTGATGCCTCTGTCCCTAAAAAAAAAAAAACACAACAACAAAAACATTTCACAACGGAACCGCGTGCATACATCAACTCTTCATGCCGGGCTGATCCCATGTGAGAGACCTTCAAACTCATGACGGCCATACTTGTTTTTTAAAGAAGAACCCTTTAAAAGGTGTGTGTGTGTGTGTGTGTGTGTGTGTGTGTGTGTGTGTATGAGAGAGAGAGAGAGAGAGAGAGAGAGAGAGAGAGACAGAGAGACAGACAGACAGAGAGGTGTATGAGTGTCATACATGCCAGGGTCAGAGTGTGGAAATCAGAGGATAAATTTTCCGGAAATTGGTTTTATCCTGTGGGTTCCAGGAAGTGGGCTCAGGTCATGACGCTTTGCGATTTTAGCTACTGAGCCATCTTCCTGACTCCACACTGTGGTCCTTTGCAGGCTCTAGAGCCAGAACCTCAGAATCCTTGTGCCTTGCCTGCCAGCTCTCCACTGACCATTCTTCATCGACTGCAGGCTTGCTAGCAAGGCTGTATATGTGTGTGTGTGTGTGTGTGTGTGTGTGTGTGTGTGTCCATCCATCCCAGGGGAGCCAACTTCGAGCCCCAGGACCCACCTGACAGCTCACAACTGTGCGCAACAATAACAGATCAAAGTGAGTAACTGGGGAGGCCCTGGCTGCAGCGATGAAGACACAAGTTCACCAGTCAACGTGGAAGCTTTTATAATATTCAGTTTGTTTTTGGCTCTGTAGCCTAGGGTGGCTTCAAATTCCCAATCTTCCTGCCTCTGTCTCCTAAGTGTTAGGTTTACAGATGTGTGCCACCCAGGTTAAAGCCGAAGCTTTGAAGCTTCTTAATTCTTTATGATGTGCCCATCTTTAGGTTTAAGGATTATTTAGGAATGGAAAGGGGACAGGAAGACCAGGAGGTGACAGGCCAGAGGGTCCCGTTCTACTAGGGGAAGGCCTGTCTCTTCTGCGGTACCGACAGGAAATACCCAAAGTGTTCCCACCTTCTTCCCAGCCCTCGGCAACACCAGCCAGCTCGTAGTGTTTCTTCCGAAGCTCTCCTAGCTTTTGACGCTCCTTCTGCAGGTCATTTTCCAGCTCCAGAACCCTAACCTGTGGGAAAAGGGTGTGAGAGGGGCTGCCATTGGTTTAATTCAGTTTAAAAACCTTACCCTTCTGAATGTCCTATGGATGAGCTATGTTCCCACCACTGTATCTTTCCTTTGTATCTCTCAGTCTCTGTCTCTTTTGAAGTAGGAGAGATTGGGTCCAGGGACTCATGTATGATAGGAAGTACTCTACCAATGAGCCACACCCCAGCCCCTCACTGGGGGATTCTAGGCAGGGGCTCTACCACTGAGCCACACTCCAGCCCCTCACTGGGGGATTCTAGGCAGGTGCTCTAAGACCTAGTGACACCTAGCCCCTGTAAAGCTCCTTTGGTCACTCCTTGGGACTTGTCTTCCCTAGACTTAATCTGGTCTCTCTGTGGCTCAGATCCCTTCTTCTATCATATCCATCCCATCTCCGCAGCTCACTCAAAACCTCTTGATGGGTGGAGCTATCTTCCTAGCCCGAGAGGAGCCTGCTAAGGTTATAGCGCAGCCCCCAGCATAATTCTTTTTTGAGACCGGATCACAGGTAGCATAGACTGGCCTTAAGCCACACTGTTTCTTCACCTCCCTAGAGCCAGGATTACAGGTATACAGCATAATATTTAGCCTTCTCTCCTCCTTGTTCCCATTTTTAATTATGTGGACATTGTGTGTGTGGGGGTGCATATTCAAGTGAGAATATAGGTGCCTACAGAGGCCAGAAGGTGTTGGACCCCCGAGAACTGGAGTAACAGGTCGTTGTGAGCAAATGCTCTCAACTGCTAAGCCAGCTCTGCTGGTTTTTGTTGTTGCTGTTGTTAAAGATTTATTTATTAATTATGTATACAGTGTTATGCCTGCATGTATGCTGCAGGTCAGAAGAGGGCACCAGGTCTCATTACAGATGGTTGTGTGAGCCACCATGTGGTTGCTGGGAATTGAACTCAGGACCTCTGGAAGAATAGTCAGGGCTCTTAACCTCTGAGCCATCTCTCCAGCCCCTTGTTTTTTGTTTTTGTTTTTAATAGATTCTTGCTCTATAGCACATATGGGCCTCAAACGCATGGCAGTCCTGCCTCAGTCCCCCAAGTGCTGGGATTTTTACACGCATGCCCACACCTGGCTTCATTTTCCCCGAAGTTACTCTCTTCTCTCTGGCTTCTCCCTGGGGGAATGATACTCGGGGGTTGAAGTACAGGGAAAGGAGACAGCCCGACAGTAGACATGGCCTTGGTTTTCTTACCTGAGAATCCATCTCCTGGCGTTTGATCTGGGTGAGTGTCATGCTTGAGAAGTCCATACTGTCTGCAAGGATGGACACAGGAAGATCCCATCAAAGGATGTCCAGAGCTGACAATTGTGAGGACCACGTCGAGTCCCCCACTGCAATGCTTGGCCTGCACTTTGCCACCACAATGATTACAAGCTGAACTGTCCCCACAGGCTCAGTTTGGAATACTTTTTCCCTAGCTGTCGGTGCTATTTTTGGGAGGCTGTGGAATGTTTAGAAGGCTGGGCCTGGCTGGCAGAAGCAGGTCCCCGGAAGCATGCCTTTCTTTGTGTGTTTATTAGTGTGTATAGGGGTATGGCATGGATGTTCATGTGTGTGAGGGTGCACTGACCACGTGGGTCCAGGAGATTGAACAAACTCTCTTTCCTAGTGAGGCACCTCACCAGTCCCTGGACAGATAGAGAATCACTATGGAAACGTGCCGGGGGGCACATTTGTAGTGGAGTTTCTAAACTAGGTTAAGTGGGAAAAGCCACTGTAGATGTGGGCAGTGATAATCCATGTGTTGGGCCCTGGTCTGAATTAAAGGGAGAAAGTAGAAACTAGGTGAGGTCTCCTGTAACCCCAGCACTATGGGGGCAGAGGCAGGAGGATCTCCGGGAGTTCAAGGACAGCCGGATCACATAGCAGGTTGCAGGTCAGCCATGGGTACCCAGTGAGACCCAGTTTCAAAAAAGCAACAGATAGACAGACAGACAAAAAGAGAGCAATTAAGCAAGGTGGGGGTGGAGAAGGGGTGAGCACCAGCATTTACCCGCCTCTGCTTCCTGACAGCGACAGCGGATACAATGCTACCAGCTGCCCCACGTTCCTGCCACCCACACTCACGCCTTCCCACCACCGTGGACTGTACCCTCACACTGGGACCTGAAATAAACCCTACCTTCTTAATTGTTTTTTACACATTTATTAGTGTGTGCGCACATCTCATGTGCCATGCCGTAAGAGTGGAGGCCAAAGAGAGCCAGTTCTCCTATCACGTGGGTCCTGGGCATTGAACTCAGGTTGTCAGACTTGGCAGCAGTCACCTCTGAGCTCAAATCCTTCTTTTTTAAAAGTTGCCTTTACCAAGGCCTTTGGTCTGCTCACAACAATGAGAAAATTAACTAATTCATGGTTAACAAGGGTCTGATTCTCTGGGAACAACTAGACCTCTAGTGACTTTTCTCTGACCTCAGGAAAGTAGCAGACAGAAAAAAAAAATATACCCTTTTTCCTTTTTTCTTTCTTTCTTCCTTTTTTTTTTTTTTTTTTTTGGGTGGGGGAAGGGGTTTCTCTACGTTTTGGAGCCTGTCCTGGAATTCGCTCTGTAGACCAGGCTGGCCTCGAACACCTACAGATCTGCCTGCCTCTGACTCCTGGGATTAAAGTGCCACTACCATCCAGCCATAAAAATCTACTTAATAGCCTGCCATTATAGCAAGGCAGTGGTGGTTCACGTGTTTAATCCTAGCACTAGGGAGGCAGAGGCAGGCAGATCTCTGTTGAGTTCAAAGCCAGCCTGGTCTACAGAGCTAGTTAGAGGATAGCCAGGGTGACATATTGAGCCCTGTCTCAAAAACCTAGAAAAAAAATCATGCTTATGTGAGGTCCTGCCTCAGGAGGTCAGCACGTCTATAAAAAGACCAAAAGAACAACCTGACTTCATACGTGCCAGGGAAGCATGGTGCGGTTGACTGAGCTACATCCCTAGCCAATACATCCTTTGTAATAGTGTGTCTAGGAAGAGCTGGGTGAGGTGGTGCACACCTTTAATCCCTACACTCAGAAGGCAGAGGCAGGTGGATCTCTGTGAGTTTAAGGCCAGGACTACTTAGTGAGGTCCCGTGTCAGAGAGAGAAAAAGAAAGGTGGGGGGGAGGGGAGAGGAAGAATCAGCAATAGAAGAGACCCAACCTCTGGCTCCGTACATATTTGTATGCATACCTACAAGCACCTCACACACAAAAAGAAGGAAAAAGAATTTAAAAAAAAAAAATTAAAGTGAGATCATGGTGAAAGAGGTTCAGAGCGGCTGAAAAGTTACCTGTCTCCTCAATTTGAGATTTGCCGGAAATGGTTGAGGCCACCACAGCGGCCGTGGCCTGCTTCACTCCCCGCGAGGCCTGCTGAAGCTGGGTCAGATTGAGGCTGCCCTTGTTAGCTTTCACCTGCAGGGACGAAGGACATTATTGTTCAGCTCCATCAGAGGCAGCGAGGACGGTACCAAGCAGCTCGCCTGGTGGCACTCAGCCACCACCAACTGTCATCACCAGGTCACCAGTCAACCTCTCAAGGTCATTGAGTGAGGGAAAAGTGACCCTGGCATATAGGTTGGGTTACCCTACACTCTAGCTTGCACAACTGTCTGCAGAAACTCTTGTGTGTGTGGGAAAGCCTGTGATCCTAAGAGATGTGGGAGGAACGAAAAGCATTCATGGGGTGAAGTTGTGCTTCACTGGTGAGGAGACCTTGGTCAGCAGCTGTGTGAGGATGAAACGGGGCAGTGGTTCAGAGACAACGGAGGGGCAGACATGGGTTACACGGGCTGTAAGGGATCAGTCAGGTGACCTGTAGTCTGTATCAAGTTCATCACCCTTGGCTGGCCTGGAGCTCACCATGTAGACCAGGCTGGCCTCAAATACAGAAGACTAGACTACCTGCCTTTGTTTCCTGAGTACAGGGATCAAATGTGTGTGCCAGCATGCCGTGCTAACGATACCATGCTCGGTGAACAGATACTGTTTTGATTTTGGATACTAGGAATGGAACCCAGGGCCATGTGCTTGCTACATAGGTGCTCTACCACTGAGCCACACCCCAGCCCCTCACTGGGGGATTCTAGGCAGGTGCTCTACCACCGAGCCACACCCCAGCCCCTCACTGGGGGATTCTAGGCAGGACAGATTCTAGCAGGGGCTCTACCACTGAGCCACACCCCAGCCCCTCACTGGGGGATTCTAGGCAGGTGCTCTACCACTGAGCCACACCCCAGCCCCTCACTGGGGGATTCTAGGCAGGGACTCTATCACTGAACCACACCCCAGCCCCTCACTGGGGGATTCTAGGCAGGTGCTCTACTATTGAGCAATGGCCCCAACCTCTTACCAGGGCAAGTGCTTTGCCAGTAAACACTACCCTCAGCCTATCTGAAATGACCTTTTATTGTTTTATTTATGCAGTATTTATGTGTAGGTGTGCATGTGGAAGTCAGAGAACAACACGTATGAAAGACTAACTGTGGTGTTTATTTCTCTCCTCCTCCTATGTAGGTACCAGATCAAAGGCACATTATCAGGTTTGGCAGCAAATGCCATCTCCCTGGCTCCTGTTTAAATTTTTTATTTTGAGCCAAAGTCTTGCTCAGGTTGTCACCAAATTCACTTTGAGCCCAGGATAGTCTTTCATTTTTAATTTTCCTGCCTCATCTTCCCAAGTAGGCAGGATGACAGGCCTATGTCACCTGGTCCACCCAAATGCTCCTTGAGTGACGGCATTGCTACTCGGAGGCTGGCATGCCTGGGACCCTCAAAAGCTGCCTAATGATAAAGACGAGAAGAGCAAGGCACGCAAGTGATGAGACGGGTGGAGGGGCTTCTTACTATTGTCATATATTAGGCTTTAAAAGAGGTTGCTATGGCATCACACAGTGATGGCACATGCCTTTAATCCCAGCACTCGGGAGGCAGAGGCAGGCAGATCTCTCTGAGTTCGAGGCCAGCCTGGTCTAAAGAGCTAGTTCCAGGACAACCGGGGCTACACAGGGAAACCTGTCTAAAGAAAAAAAGCTGAACTTTTACTCAGGACCCAACCAAGCAGGGCTATGGATTCTCACCTGTCCTAGAGGTCGGTTTCATGGCTCAATCCTCTCTAACTCAGCCAGCCTCCCCGTGCGCTGGAGCAGCCAGCACGGCTGTGCCTACCTTGGACGCAGCCACCAGCTGGGCTGTGCTGGCAGCAATCTCGTGTGAACACACCATCAGTTCCTCGAACTTCCCTTTGCCTTGGACCACAAGATCAGCAGCATCCCTGAGAACCCAGAAGAGCCACGGGGGGGGGGGGGGGGTGAGGTTGCAGAGAGCAGAAGCCATCATGATTCCCCCTCGACAGGAAAGGCAGCCTGCTTGCCCTACCCCAGGTTGTCCTCTCTCTCAAACTTCCAGTGCTAGCCACTTCATTTTGTACTTTTGTATTTATTTGTGTATGTACGCAAAGGTGTGTGTGTGTGTATGTGAGTGAGAGAGAGAGTGAGAGCAAGAGCGAGCATGTGGAAGCCAAAGGACCACCTCAGATATCTTTCCTCGGGTGTAGTTTTTTGGGATAGAGTCTCACTACACAGTCCTAGTTGCCTCAAACGCACAGAGTTCCATCTGCTTTGCCTCCCAAGTGCTAGGATTGAAGGCATATACACCTCATGTCTGTCTCCAGCTTATTCTTTAGGTATGTTCTCTTTTTTGTTTTTAAATTTATTTGTATGGTGTTTTGCCTTAATGTATGTATGTGTGAAGGTATTGGATCCCCTGGAACAGGAGTTATAGACAGTTGTGAGCAGCTATGTGGGTGCTGGGAATTGAACCAGGGTTCTCTAGAAGAGCAGTCAGTGCTCTTAACCACTGAGCCATCTCTCCAGACCCAGATTTTAACAACTTTTGGGGCCAGGTATGATGTTGCACGTCTTTGATCCCACCACTTAGGAGGCAAAGGCAGGTGGATCTCTAGGAGTTCAAGGCTAACCTGGTCTACATAGTGAGTTCTAGGCTGGCCAGGGTTACCTAGAGAGACTCTATGCTATGAAATGGATACTTTTTTCTCTCTTAGCAACTGTCCGGGGTGGATCAGTGGGATGGGGAAGGGGATATAGGAGCCTTGGAGGAATACACTTACACCATGATCGTAGCTCCCCAACCAACAGCTTTGGAGGCAGATATAAGTCCTTCTGTCCACCGAGAGTTCTTGGCATAAAATTCTTTAGGGGATGCAGTACCCTATAGAAGCAAAAATAGAATAGTTTGGTTAGTTGTTTTTATTTCATTTCATCCTTAAACAGATTTCACATATAAATGCCCAGCTTGCATGGACATGCACCACGTGAGTGTGCAGGTCAGAAGAGGGTTCAAATGCCTTGGATTTGGAGTTAGAGGGCAGTGGGCTGCCACGCTGGGTGCTGGGACTCAAGCCTTGGTCCTCTGCAAGAGCAGCAAGTGCTCTTAACTGTTGGGCCATCTCTCCAGCCTGGGCTGTTTTTAGACAGGCTTTACTACATAGCCTAAGCTATCACCCAATTCTTGTTCTTCCTGCCTCAGCCAAGTGCTAACACTATAGGCATGTACCGCCATACCCAGGGTTTTTTCTTTTAAATGACATTTATTTGTATATTTTGTGTATATATGTGGGTGGACATGTTCATGCCACGGTGCAGGTGTGGAGATCAGAGGACAGCTTGTAGGAACTGGCTCTATCTTTCTATCACGCATGACCTGGAGCTTGAACACATATTGTTAGGTGTGGCAGCAGGCTCCTTTACTTGCTGAGCCATCTTGCAGGCCCACTACCCAGCTATTAACAGCTAATTTTACAGAATGCCTCTCAAGCGCTACGTGCCTTTATTCTCACATTAGGTATAATTAAACTAAGATGCAGTGAGGCAAAATAACATTAAGTCTTGGAGGTAATGAATTAAAGTAAATCCCCAGCTTTTAAAAAGGACTTATTTTTAACTTTTAATTGTGTGTGTGTGTAAGAAAATGTAGGTGCCCAGTGATGCCAGAGGCATCTGATGCTCCGGAGCTGGAGCTGCAGGCAGTTGTGAGCCACTGATGTGGATGCTGGGAGCTGAACCCGGATGGCTCAGACAACCAGGAAGTAGTCAGCCATCTTTCCAGCCCATAATTTGGTCTCTATGTATAGACCAGGCTGGCCTTGAACTCACAGAGATCTGCCTGCCTCTGCCTCCCAATACTGGAAATAAACCATGATTGGTTTTATGTAGAGTCTGGGATAGAATCCATGGTTTTTATAGATGACAGGCTAGGACTCTACCAATTGAGCTACATCGTCAACTCATGAAGGGAATTATGAGAGAAGGTCCAACTATGCAGCCCATACTGAGGTCAAACTTGAGATCCTCCTGCCTCAGCCTTATGAGCATTTGGACTGTTAAAAGGGTTAAGTATCTGCAGGTCTGGAAATCTAGAGGACCTGTCTCCTATGTCTGAGGATGGACAGTACCAGGTCTATGGCTTGGATCTGCCCAGTTTCCCAAAGTCCTCAGCTGTCCCCCAAAGACCTAGATTTGCAGCGTCAGTGGGGTTTCCACAGTAGGGCTGTATGGCCTCTGGGAGCTGGGGCTAGAAGTTACCGGCTGATTGCTCCCTAGAGGCAGCTACCAGGAACCCTCAACTGCCCACAGTGTCCGGGAAATATCCCCAAGGATGGCAGATCTGCCCGCGGTGGAGTACCATTGGAGCCCACAGCGAAACCAGATTCTAGCACATGCGGAGGGAGAGGGAGCTGACGCCACAGCCCTGCCTACCCTGCCACTTTCCACGATCTCCTTCTGGAGGTCCTTGGAGGCCACGACGAGGACCTTGATGGCTTGCATCAGACTGGTACAGGAACCAAGGATCCTAGTCAAGAGAAAAGGGTTGGTAACGGGACACTAAGAAGGAAAAGAACAACTTGATTTCTCATCCCTAAGCCAGGAAAACCTTGCGTAGCAATGAGGGGCAGGAAAGGTGTTGGGGTTGCTGGAGGACCCTGAGGCGTCACCTTGGAGGCGAGCTGGTGAGTGACAGTTCCCTGTGGGCCTCGCTTTCAAGGACCTTGCTTACCTACTGCCACCACAGTGCTCTCACTGACCTTTCGTTCACCTCCAACTTGACTCCCGTGTCTCCTGCTCGAGATTTACTGAGTATTTCCTGTTAAAAAGAAGCATGTCTGGTTTCTTTTCTCTGTGTGTGTGTATTACTGGGAACTGAGCCCGGGCTTCCTTCATACTCTCTGATAAACAACGGCCTCAGGTCCTCACTGTTGGGGGAATCTAGGCCAGCTACATACATCTCCACCCCAAGAAGCATGGTTCCTAAATGTATCATGAACCCGACCCACCACCACTGCCTTGATACCCTCTGGATCCAACAAGGTGTGGTAGCCTAGCAGGCTGAATCTCCGTATCTTCATCTCTGTCTTTGTGAGTCAGAAAAACCCCAGATCCCCTCGTCTATCGGGTGGTAGACAGCTGGAGCTGACGGCTCTAGCCCTGGTAAGTCTTGACCTTGGCCCTTGGGCTGTATCCGTGAAACACACTAAGAGCTGCGGTACCTGTCCCCAGGGGCAGCTGCTACCAGATCCACTAGGCGGGTGCTCACACCACAGCAGGGAGTGAGTCTTCCACAAAAGGAGCCACGTGAGACCTTTCCAACAGGACCCATTCAGCTGTTCCTGAGGAGTTCTTGAACACCCATCAGGCTTCCTCGGGCATTTTATTATTATGACAGTGAAGGCTGGCTCTAGCTGTCAACCTGACAGCCGAGACTCACTCAGCAAGAGAGTTTCAATGAGTGACTTGGGGTTGGCTTGTGGGTATGTCTGCAGGAGGGATGTCTTAAGTTAACTGATGTGGGACGACCCAGCCCACCATGGGCAGCACCATTCCCTAGACAGGGGGTACTGAACTGCGTAAGAGGGGAGAAATCAAGTTAACGCAAGCAAGCAAGCAAGCAAACACGTATGCACTAATGCTCTGCTCTTGAATGGGATGGGATGGGATGGGATGGGCACTTCCAACTCCTGTCCTGGTGACTTTCTTGTTCCTGCCACCGTGACTTCCCTGCAGTGCCCTCAAACTATAAGCAAAAATAGACACTTCTCCCCTAAGTTACTTTTTTTTTTTAATTATTTATTGTGTATACAGTGTTTTGCCTGCAGGTCAGAAGAAGGCACCAGATCTCAGTACAGATGGTTGTGAGCCGCCATGTGGGAACTGAACTCAGGACCTCTAGTAGAGCAGCCAGTGCTCTTAACCTCTGAGCCATCTCTCCAGCCCCTAAGTTGTTATTTGTTAGATGTTTTATCACAGCAACAGAAATGAGACTACATCAATGGCTGCCCTAAAGAAACAGGATTTAAAGCCCAGCCAGGTGGTGGAACTCACGTAAGTCATGTGATTATCAGCCAGCCTGGAAATCAAACTCCAGGTGGCTGACAGCAAAATAGCCTACCTGGGAGGAAACCGCTCCTCTTTCTTTATAAGGACCTCGTTTTCACCCCCTCATTGGTGCAGTGACCTTGGCCTTTGATTTTTGTTTTCTCTTTCTTTTCTTCTTAATTATGAGACAATATCTCACATAGCCCAGGCTGGCTCCAAACTTACTATACAGCAGAGGACGACCTTGAATTTACCTGCTCTACCCCCAGGACTGAGGTCACAGGTCTGCACCACCACACTGGCTTCTCTGGCAGGAGTCTAAGACACTCCTGAGGCGCAGTGCCCGAGGGAACTGACGGGAGCGTTGCTGTGGGAAATTCTAGAGTCCTCTCACCTCTATCCGGGTGGTGGCGGCCTCGATGGCAGCTGAAGTGGCGGCCATCTCCTTGTCTACGAGGTCACCCAGCTCTTCCTGTTTGATGTCCAGGCCCCTGGGCAGCAGTTCCTGTGAGCAGTACCACAGAGGTTAAAAGGACAGGAAGTCGACCCCTGCCTCTGATGGATGGCGAGTGTTGGGAATTAAGGGTGCGAGCTGCCACACCTGTTCCGACCCTTACCCCTTTATTTTCCCTAAGAAAGGGTTTCTCTGTGTATCCCAGGCTTCCTGGAACTCACTTTGTAGACCAGCCTGACCTTGAACACAGAGACCCCCCCTGCTTCTGCCTCCACAGTGCTGGGATCAAAGGTGTGGGCTACCATGTCTGGTATTAATTTTTTTAAACAAGGTCTCATGAAGCCCAGGTTAGCCTTAAATTCTCCACATAGCCCCGACTGTCCTCAAACTCCTGATCTCCTGCCTCAGCCTCCCAAGAGCTGGGATTACAGGCAGGTGCCACCAAAGCCAGTCATCTTGCTGCTCACTAGGTCTCTGCCTCAGCTCTAGGGCACCGAACAGAAACAGCTGCTCATGCATTTCTGTACTTTCATAAATACCTAATGCAAACTTTTTGTGTGTGCATGGTCACGCATGTAGAGGGCCACACGTATGTACAGATATGAATCTCCATGTATGTATGGAGTCCAGAGGACAACTTGAGGTGTCATTTCTGAGGAACCCTCCACCTTTTCTCCAAGGCACAGTCTCTTCCCTGGCTGGTGATTCACCAGGGAGGCCGTGCTGCCTGGCTGGAGAGCCCCGAGGAGTCTGCCCAGCCCTGTGGCTTCAAGTCTGTACCACCATGCTCAGCCGTTTGTCTTTTCTCTTTTTAAGACAAGTTCTGCAGACTGAACTCATGATCTCATGCATTTTAGGCAAGTACTTTGCCCAGTGAGCCACCTCTCCAGCCTCTCTCAAAGTCATTTTGTGGAATGAATGCGTGCCCTGTGGTAAGATGCCACCCTCTCAGCGATACTGCCACCACCTTCCCAAGTTGGGCTGTGCCGACTTTTGAGAGCCCGTCACAGCTGGGCTTGTTGACTTCCGATATTAGCTCACAGGCGGGGACACAGAGGGCCCTATACCTAAGGGTCCAGCCATTGCTCCCAGTCACTCGTATGCAGTTCTGCTTTAATGGCACAGGGTCCTCAGGGTTTCAGGGAAGGGCAGGAGACATGGGGATCTACCTGTGTGACCATAGAGAAGCCATCACCCGTGTTGGGGGTGAAGACTTTGCTGAGAGGCTGCTTTGGGGTCCCCCACATCCCTGTCAGTCATCCCTCACCCTGTTCTGTAAGGAAGGCCAAACTCACTGGTACTCAGGATGAACTTCAGAGAAATAGGATTTTGGTTTGTCACTGGGACCCCAGTGGGAGGGAGCAGGCACTGTTTACATCTCCTCGGGGTGTGAATTCTCACGATACTTTTGGGTCTGTGTCCATGTTAGGTGTCACTTGCCAAGCCAACAACAATACTCAGAGACGGGTAACAATTTATCCTCTTCTCTGGCAGTGATGCACCATGGTGCCGCCAGCAGGCCAGTGAATTAAACCACATAAACGAGGTGAAGTGGTCTAGGCCTGTAATCCCTCGAGGTGGAGGCAAGAAGAGAGGCATTCAGGGTCATTCTTGGCTACACAGAGAGTTCAAGGCCAGCCTGGGGTACAAGAGCCCTTGGTCTCAGACAGCCAAACAACAACAAAAAGCAAATCACATCATTAATGGTACCTCAGCCGGGCGATGGTGGCGCACGCCTTTAATCCCAGCACTCGGGAGGCAGAGGCAGGCGGATCTCTGTGAGTTCGAGACCAGCCTGGTCTACAGAGCTAGTTCCAGGACAGGCTCCAAAGCCACAGAGAAACCCTGTCTCGAAAAACCAAAAAAAAAAAAAAAAAAAAAAAAAACAATTAATGGTACCTCGCCAATGGCCTTGATCTTGCTGAGGAAATTCCTCATGGCTGTGCTGTCGGCTTTCTTCATGGCTTCATCTTCCTCCAGGGAGGACAGAAAGGCCAGGGTTTCCCTGCCATATTGCTTACAGGCCTCTGTCAGAGCTGGAGACAGGAGAGACAGGTGTTTAAACACCTCTTGTTTTCCTTGTTCTCAGGGGCCTCCCCTCCACCCTGATACTCACAGTCGGCTGGCTCGGACGGGGCCCGGAGGCTGGTAGCGCTTCCCTGAATGATGGTGTCGCTAGTCAAGTGGGCAAGCAGGGTCATCGAGTGCAGAAGCTCACCGATGTCTGCAGGGAGAAGGAAGTAAAGTCTCGGGCCCAATGGTGGCGCTGCTGTCTTTCTTTCTTTTTTTTTTTTTTCTTTTCGAGACAGGGTTTCTCCGTAGCTTTTGGTTCCTGTCCTGGAACTAGCTCTTCTAGACCAGGCTGGCCTCAAACTCACAGAGATCTGCCTGCCTCTGCCTCCCAAGTGCTGGGATTAAAGGCATGCGCCACCACCGCCCGGCCGCTGCTGTCTTTCTATTCCGTTTAGATATATTTTTACTTAATACATGTCTCTGTGCAGGGATATGTATTCCTGAATGCAGATACTGCCAGAGGCCAGCAGAGGGCGTCAAATCCCCAGGAACTGGGGTTTCAGGTAGCTGTGAGCAGCCTGAGGTGAGGTGGGTGGGGAGAATCGAATCTGGGTCCTCTGCAAGGACGAGCGCTCTTAACCCCTGGCCATCTCTCCAGCTCCCCTCTGGTTGCCCCTCGCGACAGAGCCCATGTCCTGTGTTCCGCGTACCTTCTGGGCAGGCCAGATACTGGCTATGGTTCTTCTCCAGTTGCTCGAGGCAGCTAGACACAGCCTTGACTTTGGAGAGAAGGTGATCTGAGGGGAGACAGGCCGCGTCAGAAAGGAGTTCTCACATTAGCTCCACAGAAGCAGCTAGGTGGGTAGGATGACCTGCTGGGAGTCCCTGCCCTGTGGGCTTTCCCTTAGACAGGAGGAGGGAGGGAGGGCTGCTGGCTGCGCTCATTCTAATGTGCTGGACACATTCTTTTTGCTTCCTTCTTTCTTTTGAGGCAGGGTCTCCTGTAACCCAGGCTGGCCTTGAACTCACTATGCAGCCAAGTTCTGATCTTCCTGCCCCCTTCCCCAAAGTGTTGGGAAATCAGGCACGAACCATCAGACCCAGTATCTACTGGTACTAGAACTAGAACCCAGGGCTTCATGCATGCTAGGCAAGCACTCTCCCAACTGAGCCACACCCCAGCCTCCAGAACTGCCTCTCACTTTACTATTATGGTACTGCTCACTACAGGGGCACTGCATGCTATAAGGTGTGAAGCTCAAGGGTCTCTTAAAAGCTCATGATATTGATATTATTATTATTATTTTATTTTGAGACAGGGTCTCACTACATAGCTCTGTATGCTATCTGCCCTGTAACTCACAAAGATCCTCCTGCCCCTGCCTCTGCCTCTGCCTCCCAAGTATAAGTTCACGTCCCAATGTTTGGTTTCCCAGTTTTGGCGCTACTTTGGGAGGCTATGGAAAGGCAGGAGGTGGAGCCTATTGGGGCAGAGTAGGTCACAGGGGGCAGATGTCCGGAGTCGGTTCTTCCTGCCTATTTCCTGGCTTGTTCTGGGCTCAGCCCACCATGACCGCGATCACATCCCATTGCTCTCACAGCCATGAAGACAGCTGCTCTTCCACGCCTGCCTCTTCACTGTGGACCAGAACCATCTGAAACCGTGGCCCAAACGAACCGTTCCTCCCTTAAGTCACTTCTGTCGTGCTAAGATCATCGCGACACAGAACAACTGGGCCAATGGCTGAGGCAGTGGGTGCCTCAGCTGCCAGGCTGACAAAGTCATAAGCGCTCAGGCAGTATGCCAGAGTTTCCGATTTAACTGACCTAGGGTGAAGAGGGTGGGCACACCCCAGGGGCTTGGCACGCAGCTAGGCTGGGGACCCTGACCTGGGTGGGCTTCCTGTGAGATCGAACCCCAGGCAGCTGGGCATCAAAAACTACCTGTGGACCCTGCACAGCTGATGAGGGCGGGCTCCTCAAGCTGGCTCAGCGCCTCCTGTATCTCACTCTCCGCAGCCTTCCTGGTCCCTGCCAAGAGTTTTTTCCTCTGGTCCTTCATCTGCTGGCACACGGATTCCTAGAAAAAGGCCAGAAAGGTGGGAGTTGGCCAGGCACACCACAATGAACCCCGAGCAGCATCCACCTGGGACCACACTGGGATGCCTGGCCTCTCATGGTGGCGCTAGTGAGATCCAAGCTGGTCAGCTCCACGCGGGAAAACAATATCTGACCTTGGTCCACAGGTGTGCACAACAGACCAGTGACCCACCTGGAGACCCACTCCCAGTGTGGCTGAGGACTGCTAAGTCATCATCTCGATTAAAATAAACCCGGATTAATAAAGCACACCTCTGGCTGTGTCTTACAGGATTTCTCAAGATAACTAAAACCCAACATGGGCTCTCTGGAAGAGTACAAGCATCGAGCCTCTGAGACATCTCTCCAGCCCGTATTACATTAAGGCAGGGACTCATGGATCTCAAGCTGGCCTCAAAATCAGAATTAGGGAGCTGCGGATAGCTGGAACTTCCGATCCTCCTGTCTCTACCTCCTGAGTGCTGGGATTACAGGTATGAGCCTGCATTCTCTGTTGACGTGGTCTGCAGACCAAACTCAGGACCCAGTGCATGGGAGACAAGCGTTCTGCCCACTCAGGTTTATCCCTGGCCCACACAGTTTTCTTCTTATACAAAAAGAGGCACTTGGCTTTAGGAACTGTGTCCACAGAAAGCCTTGGCCACCAGGCCTGACGGCCTTGAATCCGTCACCGCCCATCCGTCTCTGGCGTCCACAGTGTCCAGTGGATGTCTGTCACTTGCCTGGGCACTGGCCAGTTTGATCTGGGTGCTTTCCAGCTGGTCTCGGAGGGCTGAGAACTCTTCCTCTCTCTGAGCTGCGGCCGTCGTCAAGCTGCCCTGTTCCTTCTCCAGTTCGGCGATCTGCGTCAGCCACTTCGCTTCTGACTGCGGAGGTCACCATGTGGAAACAGGGAGAAACTGAGGACATTAAATGGTCCCCTTCACTGGGACTCCAGACCCCACCACCTGGCTCCACACGGCAGGCGGCGATAGCTTGTCCACGCGCCCATCACTGCCTTCAGGGGTAAGTGTGGATTATAATGGCGGCCAGAGGGCACACGGGAGGGACTGAGGCACCAGAGGGAAGGGGACGGGGAGTGGCTCACCTGGGCAGAGGTTTCCAGGCTGCTGTGGAGGACCTGGAGCTCTTGTCTGCTAGTGGCTAGTTCATGCTTCAGGTTTTCCAGAACATCCTGTTGCTCCTGAGTCTGAAACGGAGGTAAAACAGGAACACTGTAGCTGGGAGTCATGAGAAGGAATACACATCCCAAGCTATTGACTGAGACTGTGCACTCTGCGGGTCTAAGTCAGAAGCGTGTGTGTCACGCAGCCTAGAAGCTGACCACCCAGACCCAATAGTAAGAACTCATGACTAAGATTATACACACACACACACTCCCTTTTCCTTTCTTGAGACAGGATTTCAAGGCGGGCCTTGAACTTGCTACATATCTGACGGTGACCCTGCCCTATTGCCTCCACCTTCCAAGTGTTGGGATTCTAGGCATGCACCACCATGCCTGGTGGTGCTGGAGATGGACCAAGGGCCTCCTAGGTGAGCATGCTTGATAAGCTCTACCAACTGAGTGACATGCCCAGTCCCCAGCATCTGCTCCTCAGAGTGGTCCAAAGGTCCTCTGGAAGCCACTCCTGGAACATGATGACCTCCTCTGACCAATGTCTGCCTCAAGGGCCGTTTGCAGGGGTCGAGGGGAATGACTGAGTGGCTCTCAGGGGTCGAGGGGATGACTGAGTGGCTCAGTTGCTGCTGATCTAGATGATCTTACTTGAGACCCCCAGACCCACACGGCGCAAGGAGAGAACTTAAACTCACAAGTTGCCCTAAGACGTCAACATGCACGCTGTTATGTGTACAAGTACACGTGCACACACACATACTACACATACACACACATATGCAACAAGAACACTATTAAAAACCCACTTCCAGTAGACCCCTCCCTCCTACACCCCAAGTGCCTCTCCTGCTCACCTTCCGCTGGGCCTGCTCACTTACACGGGCAAAAGAATCTTCTAGTTCTTTCTTCTCTCTTTCCAAATCCACCTGGGCTTGCCTTGCCACAGACACCTGTTTGGTAACCTCTGCATTCTGAAAGGGGAGAAGAGTGTCTTGAGTGGGCATCTCTCGGGCCCAACTCCAACCTTCCTTCTAGTACCAGTGATTTCTATCAGACTGTGAGGATCAAGGAGGCAGACACAGAAGTTCTTTTCTACCCAGAGGAAAGCCAGAATGGAGTCATGACCTGCAGATGCTAGGCTTTTAGGTATTTGTAAAAATATACAGATGGGGTAAGGTGGGGTTGTCTGGTGTAGTGTTTTTCCAGGTTGGCCTGGAATTCACTATGCAGCCCAGGCTAGTCCCTGGAACTCACTATGCAGCCCAGGCTAGCCTCAGATTCATAGCAATCCTCTTGCCTCTGCTTCTTAAGTTTGGGGACTGCAAGAGACATTACACCTACTTAGTTATTTTTTGCGACTGCTATTTAGTCCTGGCTGCCCTGGAGTGCTGGGTTTAAAGTCATGTGTCACCACACACAGCTATTATTTATTTATTTATTTATTTATTTATTTATTTATTTATTTTGGAGGATCTTGCCTCTGCTTTCTGATAGAATTACAGGTATGTTCTACTACACCCATCTCAAATGAGGGGTAATTCTAACTGTGCCTGGCACACAAGACAGAACTTAGGAAGACTTACCAAGCTGGGGTTAAGAAATGGGAGCACTAAGCGGTTAAGAGAACACACGGCTCTTCCAAAGGACCCAGGTTTGGTTCCCAGCACCCATGCTGGCTGGCTCACAATTCCTGTCATTTCAGCTTCAGAGGATCTAATGCCCTCTTCTGGCCTCCTTGAGCAACTACATACACATGCGCATACACAGGCACATACACGTGCAGAGGAAGAATAAACAAACAGAAGGGCATCTTGGAGAAACCCAAGGTTTGCACCTTTTCTCCTGTAATGCGGGGTATATAGGAGGAATAGAGGCGTCAAAGTTCCTACCTTCCGCAGCAGGTCAGCGTGATTCTGAACCAGCTCGCTATACTTCTCCTTTAGCTTGCTATACCGCTGTTCATTGGCCTGGGCTTTTCCTGCATTGGGAAAGACCCAGGTGAGGCCACTGCCCTGGCTGGGATCCCTCATCCTCCCTCCAGTAAGCTGGGGCCCTTAAAGATGTTTTTATCCTTATTTATTTATTTATTTATTTATTTATTTACTTTTTGAGACAGGGTTTCTCTGTGTGACTGCTCAGAGTGTCCTGGCACTCACTCTGAAGACCAGGCTGGCCTCATACTTACAGAGATCCACCTGCCTCTGCCTCCTCCTGAGTGCTGTCTTATTTTATTTTTTCTTTTTTTAAAGACATGGTCTCACGTAGCCCAGACTGGCCTCAAACTGGCTACATGACCAACATGACTTTGAACCCCTGAGCCTCCTGAACGCAGGGACTACAGGTGTCCACCACCACACTCAGCTAGAAGTTATCTAATTTGATTTCTTTTCTCTCTCTCTCTCTCTCTCTCTCTCTCTCTCTCTCTCTCTCTCTCTCTCTCTCTCTCTCTCTCTCTTTCTTTTTGAGACAAGGTCTTGCTACACAGCCCAAGCTAGCATTATGATCATCCTCCTGCCTTAGCATCCAAAGTTCAGTAATCACAGGTAAACACACCTGTACTACACTGGTGATGGAGGAGTTACTTTCATTGGTTAATAAAGAAACTGCCGTGGCCCATTTGATAGACCAGCCCTTAGGTGGGTGGAGTATACAGAACAGAATGCTGGGAGGAAGTGAGGCAATCGCCATGCCTCTCCTCTCTGGGTCAGACGTGATGGACCCAGCCACCAAGTCAGACATGCTAAATCTTTCCTGGTAAGACACTACTTTGTGGTGCTACACAGATTACTAGATATGGGTTAAAGCAAGATATGAGAGTTAGCCAGTAAGAGGCTAGAGCTAATGGGCCAGGCAGTGTTTAAATGAATACAGTTGTGTGTTGTTATTTCGGGGCATAAGCTAGCCAGGCGGCCGGGAGCTGGGCAGCAGGAACGCAGCCCGCAGCTCCTTCAACACACTAGACATAAATAAAGGTTGCCTTTTTTTAAATAACCACTCCCCTGATTCAAATTCTTCTGCAGACCGAAGCTTACAAACACAGAGTGGTAATTTAAAAGAAAATGGCTCCCAAAGTGAATGGTACTATTAGGACGTGTGTCACTGAGGGGGTGGGCTGAAGTCTCCTGTGCTCAAGTTACTGAGTGAAACAACTTCCTTTTGCAAGCAGGATGTATTAACTCTCAGCTCCAGCACCATGTCTGCCTGCATGCTGCCACGTCCCACCATGATAACGGAATCTCTGAACTGTAAAGCAAGGCACCCCAATAAAAAAATGATTTCCTTGCTGGGTGTTGGTAGCTCACGCCTTTAATTCCAGCACTTGGGAGGAAGAGACAGGAGAGGAACTCCCATCCTGTGTTCCCTTGGTTGCTAAGGACTGTGCCAAACCTGTCTCTGCATTTGGGGACAAGAGCCAGCACCTCCAGCTTTACTTCCGGGGAGCAGCCCCACCCCCTCCTGCTCCCCGCCCACACCCTCAGCTCCAGCCCCTCACTTTCTATCTCAGTCAGGCTGCGCTGGGCTTTCTCCGTGTCCTCGCGCTGCCTCTTCAGCTCGTCCAGCTCGGTGCGCAGGAACTCGCAGTCATCTGTAGCCTGCCGCCCCAGGTGCTGCTGCTCCGCCAGCTCTGCCTCCAGCTCGCTCACGCGGCCCTTCAACTGCAGCATGGCCCGCTGGCTCTGTGAGGGGCACCCATGATGAGGAGCTATCGTAAGGCTGACCCAAGGGGGGGCACCACGCAGGACAGGAATGACTTATCTCCTGGCTGGCATTGACGGATTATGCTTGATTCTATATCTTCAAATTCCTGACCCACAGATCCAACCACCAAAGAATATTTTATTTATATATTTATTTATTTGCTTTTGCTTTGGTGCTCTGGGCAGGGAGCCTAGGGTCTTATTCTTGTTAGGCGAATACTGCTGAACCACACCCTAGCCCCTCACTGGGGGATTCTAGCTAGGCAGTACTGCTCAGCCACCCACCCTCTCCACGTTCCTAGTATTTGACTAAGGGAGTCTAGGCAAGCCTCCACCAATGAGCCATGCTTCCTGCCCCTTCCTGGGGCATTTTAGCCCCAGTTCTTTACAACTGAGCCACACTTCGAGGGCTGAGGCATAAAACCCTCCTCCCCTTACTGAGGAATTCTAGGCAGGAGCTCCATCACACACCAAGCCCAGCACTAATGGACTTAGGAAAGTTATTCTGAATCACGTCTATTAACTAGCCCGTCTTAGGACGGGATCCGAGAGCTATCACGAGACACAAGACTGCAAGTGCCTGCGCTGGTGCAGCCCAGTGCAGACGGAGCCCGGCATGTACCTCAGCCTTCATGCTGTCCAGCTGTCCTGTCAGCACACTGATCTCTCTGTACAGGCGTTCAATCAAGTGGTCCCTGGAAGAAAAGAACAGGCCTGGTGTCACCGTGACCCATCCCTGTCCTCCACGTAAGTTGACAGACTGGAAAAGGGGGGGGAAAGCTGGTGCTAATTTGAAGTCATTCTCTTAAAACAAACAAACAGACAACTTTTTTGGTTTGTTGTTACCAGACAGCTACTGAAGGACGATTCGCTCTTCCTTTTCTCCTCCCTTCCCCTGGCACGCTAGAATTACAGACATGTGTGACTGTACTGGGGGGTGTGTATGTGTCTCTGCAGGCTACGCAGGCACTCTGCAAGTGAAGCCACATCTCTAGCCCCACAGAGAATATTAACTCTTTCCAGTATGAATCTTACAGTCAACTTTTCTCACCTGCGGGTTCTATACCCATGCATTCAAGAGAGTAGGGATGGAAAATATTTGGGGAGGAAAAAAATGGCATCTATATTGACTATATATAGACTTTTGTTCTTCTCATTATTCCCTAAACAATACAGACAAACGGGCTGGTGAGACGGCTCAGAGGGAAAAGATGCTTACCGCCAAGCCTGGCAATCTTTGTTAGGTCCCTGGGACCCAGATGGTGGAAAGGGGGAACTGATTCCCGCAAGCTGTCCTCTGATTTACACGCTAACGCCACAGTGCACAGGCAAAGCCATTCCCTCCCAGGCCAAAACTTAACCACGTAGCCAGGTGGTGGCAGCACATGCCTTTAATCCCAGTACTCAGGAAGCAGAGGCAGGAGGATCTCTGTGAATTCAAGGCCAGTCTGGGCTACTGGGCAAGTTCCAAGACAGCCAGGGCTGTAACACAGAGAAACCTTGTCTTGAAAACAAACACCCAAACTTAAAGGTATATAAAAAGAAAAGCTCACAGAAACAAACATTGTATCAGTGTTTATATCAGGAGCTATGAATCATGTAGAGATGATTTAAAGGAAACAGAAAGGGAGGGATATAGGTTCTCTGCAAATAGCATCCAGTCTCACAACGGCGTCTTGCACAGTGGCTGAACTTTGTGTATGTGCCTATCTGTGGGGGTGATTCTGAAACCAATAACCCTTGGATACCTAGGTTGATCGGACCCTAAATGTGAGGTCTCTTACCCTGATACCCACAGATTCAGTTCCTGATCTGGGATACAGGGGTACAAAGACTAAAACAATTCCTTAATCTTATATGTGTGTCTCTGCCTGTTGGTTTATACACATGTGTATGGGTGCTCTTGGAGGCCGGAAGAGGGTGCTGGATCTCCGGGAGTTACCGATAGTTAATGTGATGCTATGAACTATGTAGCAAGGGCTCTTGACCACTGACCATTTGTCCAGCCCAGCCCCTTTCATAGGGAGACTGATCCCAGGGTCTGGAAAGCCCAGGAAGTAAGGATTCTGGGTGTGGCTGAGGAGGTTCTTTAAGTGAAGTCGAGTGCTCCCAAGCCCAACAGCCTGAGTTTGTGGGAGGACAGAAATGACTCCATAATGCTCTCGGACTTCCACAAGTAATCTTGACACATCCCCGTTGACCCACAACACATACATATAGCCATACAAAACAAATACAACAACAATTTTTTTTCTTAAAAAAGTGCTGTGCTCAGTAGTTAAAAGCACTTGTTCTTTTTTTTTTAATTTATTTATTTATTTATTATGTATACAATATTCTTTCTGTGTGTATGCCTGAAGGCCAAAAGAGGGCACCAGACCTCATTTCAGATGGTTGTGAGCCACCATGTGGTTGCTGGGAATTGAACTCAGGACCTTTGGAAGAGCAGGCAATGCTCTTAACCGCTGAGCCATCTCTCCAGCCCAAAAGTACTTGTTCTTGCAGAGGACCTAAGTTCACGTCCCAGTACCTACATTGGGCGACTCAGAACTGCCTATAATTATATAGATCAAATACCTATCTCAGGCCTCCATGGACGGACAGTCAGACAGACACACACACACACACACACACACACACAATGGTGGTGACCAATAGGGAAGGTACCCAATATTGACCTCTAGCCACCACACAGGCATACATAGGCAAGTGCACTAGCACACACGTGTATATATATCTACCAGCCCACACACATATAAACACATACATGTCTAACACACATACATAGTCACACACATAAACACACACACACATACAATCAGACACCCAACAAACAAAGGAGGTGGAGGACAACTATGGAACGACATTAGAGGTTGACTTCTGGCAGAAACACACATAATGTCCGCAACACACACACACACACACACACACACACACACACACACACAATTCCTTCCTTTTGGAGTAGGTGCCACAAGGCAGACCACGGCTTAGCTTCATTTCTAGACCATGTGCCTCCGCCCAGCATAAACTCACTTCTCATCCTTGTTCACGCCATTTTGATTGTTGAAATTGAAGGGGTCGCTGCTCAACGAGCTGCCGAAGATGTCATCGAACTTGTTGTCGAACAAACTCTGCAGTGATTGGGAGGGTGGGGGAAGAGCAAAGTCAGAGACCTGGGAAGTTGTCTGGGTATGCGTGTGGCGGGTAGATTAGCATGAAACTTACTATTTTATTTTTCAACAGGGGCACACTGCATCGCCCTGGCTGTCCTGGAACTCACTACACAGACCAGCCTGGTCTGAAACTCTTGGAAATATCCCCCTGCTTCTGCCCCCTGAGGACTGGAATTAAAGAGTATGCTTCCATGCCTAGCTCATTCCTTCCTTCTTGTCTGTCTTTCTGTGTATTTAAACAAAACTTTTTAGCCTGCATGTATGTCTATGCACTGTGTGCGCCCTGGTGCTCATAGAGGTCAGAAGAGGGTGTGGGCTCCTTTAGGACAAGAGTTACAGAGGGATGTGAGCTACCTTGTGGGTGCTGGGAATCAAACCCAGGTCCTCTTTGAAAGCAACAAGCACTCTTATGGCTGAGCCAAACCTCCCGCCCCTTTGTGTGATTAGAGGCATGTACACTATGCATGGCTTCAAGAATCTGTTTTCTTGATTTGGCCGAGACCTATCTAAAATCACTCCTGGAACCTGAGTGCAGAGAGCTCAGGCTAATCTCCCACTTTCTGATGAGACGGAGGGACACACCTAGGCACTCTGGCAGACATGCATAGATACACCCATGTTAGAGGCAGGAGAATTTCAAGAGCCCAGGCATTTGAGACCAGCATGGGCAACATAGTGACGTCACGTCCAAATATTAAAGTCAAACAGACCTCGTCTGAGTAGATAGACCCAAGTTAAGAGCCTCTTCAATTGTCTGATCTGGGGGTAACAGGAAGGACCTAGTTCCTCTCCTAAGGGCCCTATACCTGCTGGGAGGCATCCATGTCCATGAGGTCATCCTTCTCCAGGACTGGCTCGCTGTCTGGAGACGACACATCAGCTGGGATCACCACCACAGGGCTGATGTGCTCTGACAGGGCTGAGGCGCGGAGGAAGTTGGGTGGATTCTGGAGGAGGAAGACACACCTTCGAAGGATGCTCACCTGCCAGCCCCAGAGGCATGCAGAGCCTCCCGTTCGAGCACTCACCTCAGGCAACTGGGGGATCTGAATGAGCCGCTTGAAGTACTGCAGATTGCTGGAACGCTGGAACAGATCCTTCAACCTGGGAGTACACGGGCACCTCAGGGCTGCTGGATGTGGCCGCCAGTCCCAGGAAGACGCGGGACACCGCCCCAGCATTCCCACCCTCTGCCCACCTTACAGGAACAAGCCGCTGCTGTGCTGCCCTCTATGAGGCCAGGATTCAATTATGATACTACAGGACCGGGGGACAGCTCAGTGGGTGGAGGCACTTTGCCAACTAAAGAAGCAAGCTTGAACTTGACTCCTGGGATCCACATAAAGGTGGAGAGAGGAAACTAACTGCGTAAAGCTGCCCCTGGTTTACACACACACACACACACACACACACACACACACACACACACACGGTGCGCACCCCCCCCCCCCACTAACCCTTTGGTCTGAATCAGGAGAACATGGGCCCTTCCAGAAAGCTCAGTGCACCAAGTCATTGGCTGCCAAACCCAATGACTGGAGTTCAGTGTCTGGGGCCCACAGGGTAGAGGCACAGAACTGATTCCCTCGAGCTGTGCTCTGATCTACACATGTGTACTGTGGCACAGGCCTACAGAGTAAATAAACGTGCGTGCACGTGGGGAGAGAAACAGAAGCAAACGGCAGCTTTCCAGGCTCCTGCCGTCATGCCGTCCCATCACGATGGACTGCACCATCAGACTGTGGGCCACAGCATCACTCCTTCTTTAAGCTGCTGTTGTCACAACAACGACAAAACTAGGAAATCACCCAGATCCCCAGTGGTATAGGAGGTCCTTCTGTCTATGTGTTGCTTTAATTGGTTTAATAAAGAAACTGCCTTGGCCTTTTGATAGGGCAGAACTTAGATAGGTGGAGTAGACCGAACAGAATGCTGGGAAGAAGGGCAGTGTGGCAGATGCCAAGAATCTCCTGCCTGAGACAGACGTAGGTTAGAATCTTGCCGGTAAGCCACAGTCACGTGGTGATACACAGATTTAATAGAAGTGGATTAATCAAGATGCGAGAGTTAGCCAATAAGAGGCTAGAGCTAATGGGCCAGGCAGTGGTTTAATTAATACAATTTCTGTGTGATTATTTCGGGTGCAAGCCAGCCGGGCAGCCGGGATGAAAAGCAGGCCCTCTCTGCCTTCAACACCCCAAACTCATCTCCTCACGGCTGCGGACACCACACTGCTGTTGGCAGATTTCTCCCGAGGATGAGTTAGCGTGGAGGAACATGAAAGGGAAGGGATTGCCCCCACCATTACTTTCACACCGTGCTGGACTGTACCCCCAAATTCCTTCAAGCTGCTTTTTGTCATGCATTTTGTTACAGCAACCGGAAAAGAAACATCCTATGATTCTACTCTAATCTATTCTATCCTACTCTACTTTCCCTTCCCTTCTTCTCTATTCTATGTTTTCTCTATCCAACTTTATCCCAGCCCACTCCACTCCATTTTTCCAGTCTATGCCGCAGTGCTTGGGGGTAGGAACCCATGTCTTCATGCACATTACACAAGCACTGTGCATCTGAACCAAATACCAAGCCTCAGGAAGCATTTCCCTCCTGGTCAGGCCTCTAACAGGCACAAAGGAGGAGCTGAGGTTCCAGCAGCCTTTGGTTGCAGCACGAAACGTCTGCTTACTCAGCCCCATCAACCAACCCCTCCCCAGGGTCTCAACACAGTCTATCAGACCCCGACATTAAAGTGTCCCTGTGATACTGCTATGACTTCGCTCAGCCTCCAAGAACATCCGCCTTTGTGTGGGAGAGAAAAATGAAGCAGCTACCGCAGGAGATGTTTTCACAAGCTAGGGAAAAAAATGGAAGGAAATAAAACGAGCTGACCACACGTCCCCGTCTCTCTGGATGGGCGCCAACAGTAATACACGCAAGTGCTTTTGCAAGCTACTGGAATTTCACATTCCAGGAAACCAGCCCCAGGGCCTGCCTCCTAGGATTTAGTAAGTCATTCATCATAGGATGTGCACCAGGCTTCCCTAGTGGAGCGAGAAAACCGGGAAGGGGGGGCGGTTAGGTCAACCCTGTGTTTGTCCTTTGACTGCTCCTGAGGGAACCGATAAGTGAAGTACCAGCTAGGGATTTGGAAGCCATGGTCAAGAATGAAGACATTAACAGAGAAAACAAATCATGTCAAGATGGCTGCCTCACAAGTGAACAATTTACAAAACAAGAAATACAGAGGGTCAACCATGATGGTTAGCTTGCATTGCCAACCCGACGACCATGACGGTTAGCTCGTATTTTGTCAACCCAGCCAGCCTGATGGTTAGTTTCTATTGCTAATCCTACGACTATGATGGCTAGCTTGTATTGTCAACCTGACGTAATCTAGAACCATCTGGAAAAAGTCTCAACAAGGGACTGTCTAGATCAAGTTGGCCTATGGGGGATTGTCTTGATTGTTAGTTGATGTGGGATGACCCAGCCCACCGTGGGTGGCACCATTCCCTGGCTTTGCGCCTGGTTGTATAAGAATAGAGAAAGCTAGCCAAGCAACAAGCATGCGTGCATACATTCTATCTCTGCTCTTGGATGTGACATGGCTAGATGCCTTGACTTCCCTGAAATAAGAGACAAACCTGGAACTCCAGATCAAATAAACCCTTTACGCTTAGGTTGCTCTATATCAGAGCAATTGTATCACAACAGACACGAAACTGAGGCACAAGTGTATGTATACACACACACATACATACATACACACACATGCGCGCGCAGAACATACACACATGTCTACATGTATATATGACTTAATATCCTACCCACCAAGAAAATGCAAATGAAAACTACACTGAGCGCTTTTCCCTCTGAAGTGTGAATGGCTATCATCATGAAAACAAACATGGCCAGGCGGTGGTGGCGCACGCCTTTAATCCCAGCACTCAGGAGGCAGAGGCAGGCGGATCTCTGTGAGTTTGAGACCAGCCTGGTCTACAAGAGCTAGTTCCAGGACAGGCTCCAAAGCCACAGAGAAACCCTGTCTCGAAAAACAAAAACAAAAAAGAAAAGAAAACAAACATGAAAACAAAGGAAACAAACATGGGGCTGAGAACACGGGGAGAGAAGAATCTGAATGCATTGTTGGTAGGTAAAATGGTACAGCCGCAATGGACCACAGAAGCAACATATGGTCTGCCTGTAACACAGCTTCCTGAAGGAATCTAATTCAGCACACCACAGAGATACCCACACACCCATGTTCACTGTGGTGTCGTTCTCAATAGCCAAATCCCAGAAGCAGCTTAGGTGTCCATCAGCAAATAAATGGATAAAGAGTGTGGTCTACATATGTTTCGTTCAGCCGAAGGGAGGATTTCAGGGCTGGTGAGATGGCAAAGTGGGTAAAGGGATATGTCACTAAGCCTGAGACCTGGTGGGAGGAGAGAACTGACTCCTGAAAACTGTTCTCTGATCTTCATACACAGCCAGGGATTCATGCGCACGCATGCACGCACGCACATGATGCTCTCTGCCCTGCCCAACCTTTATACCCCAGCGCTGGGGATCCAAACTCAGGTCATGGCGCTTCTGCAGCGGCCACTTTACTCTAGCCCCCTATCGTAGGTTCTGATAGGACTTCATTCCCTTCGAGAGTCACTTACTTTGTGAACTGCTCCATGAAGCGGTCTCGGTGGCCCTGCAGGGTGTCAGCTGGAAGACCTGGAGGAAATCGCCAGGAGCACGTGAGTATAGGGACACCAGGGGACAGGCAAGCCACATCGGGACCGAGGGAGGGGCCAACCTAGCCACGCTGGCACTCCTGGCTAAGATGCCCCGAGGTTTGGTAACTGAGAGAACCCCACAGGAGCAGCAGGCTGCGAGCCTCTGGTTCGGGTGGAATGGAGGCTGCAGCCCCGGCAAAGCTGTGGCTTCCTCAAACCGCAGGACTTGCTGAGGGCAAGTGGGAGCAGGCTTCGCTCTCAGGTGAGGGACTCATCCATTAGGGCGTGGTGAAAGCTGTGACCCTGCACCAGCGCAGGCCACTCAGGGCCAGCTCCCTAGGGAGTTGCTTCTCTGAGGTCCCTTCATATCCCAGACCATAGGAGGCTGCATATTTCAACCATGAGTTAAAACTCAGTTTTCAATTTATTGTAAGAGGAGGAGGTCTTGCTATATGGGCCAGGCTGGCCTTGAACTCATGAGCAGACTGCTTCGTGCTGGGATCACAGGCACACCTGGCTTGATTTAGCTGGTACCACTTTTTTTTTTTTTTTTAAATATTTATTTATTTATTTATTTTTATACAATGTTCTGTCTGTATGCCTGCAGGCCAGAAGAGGGCGCCAGACCTCATTCCAGATGGTTGTGAGCCACCATGTGGTAGCTGGGAATAGAACTCAGGACCTTTGGAAGAGCAGGCAATGCTCTTAACCACTGAGCCATCTCTCCAGCCCCTGGTACCACTTTTTAAACTGCACTTTGTCTTCACATGTGAACGCCCTTGTGCCACAGGGCGTGTGCGGGTCAGAGAACAGCCCTGGGGAGTTGGTTCTTTTTCCCTTGTGTCCGTGAAAGACCCACAGCAGCAGGATTTTGGTTTTTGTTTGCTTTTTTTGTTGTTGTTGTTGTTTTGTTTTTTGAAGACAGAGTGTCTCTGTGAAGCTTTGGAGCCTATCCTAGAACTTGCTCTGTAGACCAGGCTGGCCTCGAACTCACAGAGATCCGCCTACTTTTTCCTCCTGAGTACTGGGATTAAAGGGGTGCGCCACCACCACCTGGCTCACGGCAGCAGCTTTTATTTGAAGTCCCCCACTCACTCAACCTCCTTCTCTTCTCATCTCTCCCCCTTTCTCGTTCTGGTGCAGAGTCTAGCTATGTTACCCAGGCTGGCCTTGAACTCCTGGACTCAAGCCATCTTCCAGCCTCAGACTCTCTTGTACCAGGAACAACAAACCACACCACCGTGCTGTGCTCTTTCTTTCTTTATTTGAGACAGCGTCTCACACTGTAGCCCTGACTGTTCTGGTACGTACTATGTAGCCCGGGCTAGCCATGAACTTGTGACAATCCTCCTGCCTCTGATTACAGATGTGTGCCAACAAGTCCTGTTTTTAAGTGTTTTTGAACGAGTGATATAAACACAATGTTCGTATATAAATTATGGTTACTGAAAGTGAGCCAGGCAGATGAAGAGCTGAAGGTCAGGCAGGACCACATATAGAGACCTTGTTTCAAAACACAAACCAAAAAAGATAAAATTAGGCAGAGGATAGAAATAGCATTTAATTTCTATTCCAAAACCCTGATCTCAGTTCTACTAGGAGAAAAAAACACCAGGAAAAAAGTCAAATTGAGGAAGATTCCACTTAAAAAAAAAAAATTGACCAGAACTCAAAGCTGTTAAGGTCATCAAAAAGGAAGTCTGACAAGCTGTCACAGCTACTGGGAGCCTGAGAAGAAGCAATGACTAAGTGTTACGGGATCTTGGGTGGGAGCTTAGAAGAGGAAATAGGGATCTGAGTGAAGGGCTGGCTTTAGCTGAAAGTTATAAAGGGCTGGGGTGTGGCTCAGTTGTAGAGCCCCTGCCTAGAATCCCCCAGTGAGGAGCTGAGGTGTGGCTCAGTAGTAACGTGCTTACCTAGTACACACAAGACTGTGAGTTTCTTTACAGCACACACAAAGAGTATCAACACAGCTTCACTAACTAAGAAACTTCATGCTAATACATCAACAATGAGGGTTGGGCTTGGTGGCACATGCCTGAAATCCCACTGTCTAGGAGAGGGGCAAGGTAGGAGAGTTAGAAACTCAAGGTTATCCTGGACCACATTTTGAGTTCAAGGCCAATCTGGTACACATGAAATTGTTTCAAATAAATAAAACAAAAGAAATACATAAATAAGATGGGCAGCGGTGGTGCATGCCTTTAATTCCAGCACGCAGGAGGCAGAGACAGGTGGATCTCTGAGTTCGAGGCTATCCTTGGTCAATAGAGCAAGTTTCAGGGCAGGTTCCAAAGTTAAAGAGAAACCCTGAAGGAAAAACCAAAAACAAATTAAAAAGAAAAAAAGAAATATATAAATAAAAGTAAGTTTACTTGTATTTGGAGTTTATTTTTATTTAAGTATTTGCAAAAAATATTTATTTTTGTGCATATGAGTGTTGGACCTGCATGTATGTCTGTGTACCATGTAATTGCAGTGCCTTCAAGGGTCCGGGGAAGATGCTGGATCTCCTGGAACTGGAGTTACAGACAGTGTGAGCCACCATGTGGGTGTTGAGAATCAAACCCACGCCTGGAAGAGCAGACAGTGCTCTTAACTGCTGAGCCATCTCTCCAGCCCCCAGCTCTATCTATTTATTTTCTGACAAAGTTTCATGTGGTCCAGAAACCTGATTCTCCTGCCTCCACCTCCCCAAGACGAAGCATGCAGGTATGGGCTATATGCCCCACATAAGTGGTACTGGAGATGGAGTTCAGGATTTCACACATGCTAGGCAAGCCTGCTCTGCCAACAGAGCTGCACTCCCTGCCTGTAATTGATGATGTTTCTAAGCAACAGACTCTCCTTCTCTGGGGATTTGGTCCACCCTCTCTGCTTCCTGTAGGCACACCCTATGGCACCAAGCCTTTCCAACCCTGGAACAGCAAACTGCAGTCGCTATCGAAGGAAACGGCCCCAGCTGAATCAGAGGGATGCTGCTGCTCTTGCCTAGTTTCAGATAACCAGACCTGGCTTTGTGAGGCAGGTCCAGGTAGAGGCACTTGCTGCCAATCCCTGGGGCCATTGACAGACGGAGAGAACCGATTCCTGCACATTGTCCTGTGACTTCATACATATGAGCATACACACATGCAACACACAAACATATAAATAAATAAATGGAATAAAAAAAGGTTATTACTTGTAAGTCAACAGTTATGAAGCGTCCCTTATTTCATATGGGTGTGTGCGTGCGCGCATTTTTTTAAGTTTAATTTTACTTTCCCCCCTTGAGATAGGGATTTATTACGTCAAATGGGTGGACCGTGGATTTACTACATAGCCCAGTTCACAATAAATTTCTCATCTTCTTCTAGAACCTCCAAAGCCTGGGATTCTAGGCATGCACCCCAAACTCAGCCACTGTTCTATGTATCTAAAACAGACCCTTGGGGCTGGAGAGATTGCTCAGTGGTTAAGAGCATTGCCTGCTCTTCCAAAGGTCCTGAGTTCAATTCCCGCCAACCACATGGTGGCTCACAACCATCTGGAATGAGGTCTGGTGCCCTCTTCTGGCCTGCAGACATACACACAGAAAGAATATTGTATACATAATAAATAAATAAAAAATAAAAAACAAACAAATAAATAAATAAATAAAATAAAAAATAAAACAGGCCCTTTTCCTTTCTGGGCTATAAAACCTGAACAGAAGCCGGGCGATGGTGGCGCACGCCTTTAACCCCAGCACTTGGGAGGCAGAGGCAGGCGGATCTCTGTGAGTTCGAGACCAGCCTGGTCTACAGAGCTAGTTCCAGGACAGGCTCCGAAGCCACAGAGAAACCCTGTCTCGAAACCCCCTCAACCCCCCCAAAAAACCCCAACCCCCCCCCAAAAAAAACCAAACCTGAACAATATCCATTCACATCTACCAAGTTATGGGCATTCTTCAGCATGATCACCTTGGCATATGACAATGAGGGGCTGGGAAAATGGCTCAGTGGTAGAGGACTTGCCTAAACTTCTCCAGTGAGGATTTCCACTAGCTTTATCTTGGGAATCTGCATTTAAAGATGTAGATTCTAAACTATACCAGAGACCTATCCAAGCTGGCCCAGGAGTAGCCTGCTTTAAATAAGAATACATAAAATTGATTGATTGATTGATTGATTGATTGATTGAGCATGCGTGCGTGAGTACTCATGTGCACGTGTGAAGGTCAAAGGTCAATTTGTGCAGTAGGTGCTTTCCTTCCACCATGTGGGTTCTGGAACTAGAACTCAGGTCCCCAGACTTGAGAGCAAGTACCTTTCCCCTGACCATCCTGCTAGGCCTCCTCAACCTCCCCCCCAACCCCTGCCAGCCTGCCCCAGCCCCCCACCAGTCCAGCCAAGCACTCCACATTTTTAACCAGGGCATCAAGGATAAGAACTTCTGCAAATCAGCAGCCCTCAAGTAATGCTTTTGACTAATGGTGCAGAAGGGATCTGCTGCTGAGAAAATTATAGCCCTTGGATCAGCTGTGATTTGTTTATTGCTTTATTTAAGAAAGTGTCTCACTAGGTAAGCAAGGCTTGCCTGGAACTTAGTATGTAGCTCAAGCTGGTCTCACACTGGCAGAGATCCTTCTGCTGTTCCTCCAAACCACTGGGCCTGCGGGCATGTGCCACCAGATCCAGCTATATTTAAATTTTTTGCACTGAGGGGATGGAACTCAGGACATTATGCCTGCTAGTTAAGATCTCAACAATTAAGCCACGCCCTCAGTCCCTCACTGGGGGATTCTAGGCAGGGCCTCTACCACTGAGCCACAGCCCAGCCCCTCACTGGGGGATTCTAGGCAGGGCCTCTACCACTGAGCCACACCCCAACCCCTCACTGGGGGATTCCAGGCAGGGGCTCTACCACTGAGTCACACCCCAGCCCCTCACTGGGGGATTCTAGGCAGGAGTTCTACCACTGAGCCACACCCCTAGCTCCTCAATGGGGGATTCTAGCCAAATGCTACAAATATAACCTCAGCTAGGGTGTTCTCAGCAAGTGTTGAGCTACACTAGCCCTGTAGCTGTTTTCTGTCTCTATTTCTCCAAAGAGTTCCATCTGTTACAAGGGACTGGGTTGCTAGATGGTTTGGAGGTCACTGTATTAGCTCATGCAGGTATGGGTCAGGTCAGTTGTCCTCTATGTAGACCTAAGAACACAAGACACTTTTGGTGAACAGTGACATGGTAGAGCTGGATGTGGACAGAGAGAATCCTCTTAAGACACAGGACTGGAAGGTCAGGAGCTAGACCGGGGCCGTCTAAAGCTTGGGTTACTCCCTTCCATTTGCGAATGACCAGAAGCCCCAGGCCCCTCAGACCAGAGCAAACAGTACTGACTGAGTAGCCTGCATCACTTGGGGAACTGGCCAGGGCTGTGACCCTGCTCCCAGCCTGAAGCTCACACGAGATGGTCGAGGCGGTCCTACTCACAGGAGTGGAGCTTGAAGAGCAGCTTGACAGTGTAGTCATAGAGGTGGCTGCAGTCCAGGATGACCTGGATCAGCGGTGCAAGGCGGCACTGCCCAGCTGTGGTCACAGACACCGAGCGGGACATGTCCAAGGAGTTGAACACTGTGGACGAAGATGGGGAGAGAGGCTGAAGTGAGGAAGAAATAGCTGCAGTAGAGCAGAATCAGCCGTCTGACATATACCAAGATTTATTCTGTGTTTCTGTCTTACTAAGAACGGAACCCAGGATTTTGTATTCTACTGTGGAATATCCTTTTACACTGTCTTTGAATATATGTCACAGTGATTGGTTTAATAAAGAAGTTGACTGGCCAATAGCTGGACAGGTAGAGGTTAGGTGGGACTGGCAAACAAAAAGAGAACACCGGGAAGAAGAGGGAAGGAGTCTGAGGAGTCACAGAGAGAAGCAAGATGAACTTGCAGAGTTGAAAAAAGGTTCCACCATATGGCAGAACATAGACAAGAAATAAGGGTGAATTTAAAAGGTAAGAGCTAGTTTAGTAATAAGCCTGAGCTATTGGCTGAGCGTTTATACTTAATAAATCTTTGTGTGGTTATTTGTGAACTGGCTGGCAGAAAAGTCCAACTACATTCTACTGTTGAGCCACCCCCAGCCTCTCACTGAAGGACTCTAGGCAGGTGCTCTACCACTGACCCACAGCACCAGTTCCTTGCTGACATATTCAAAGAACGTTCTCTACTGTTAGATGTGTCCACAGCCCCTCACTGGAGGATTTTAGCCCAGGGCTCTGCCCTTGAGCCACACCCCTAATTCCTCATTGGAAGAGTCTAGGCAAATGTTATGATCCTGGGCTGTGCCCTAGCAATTTCTGTAATTTCATGTCAAGCTAGGATCTTGCTATGTAGCGCAGGCAGGACTTAACAGCTCTATCCGCTCATCTCAGCCTCCCATGGCCTGGGGTACAGGTGCATTAACTCATGTTAACCCTATGATACCCCGAGACAGGAAAGGGTATCCCCACCAGACAGGTAAGAACATGCATCCTAAGTCACTTGAAGGTGATCACAAAGCCAAACCCATATGGTCATCGATGGGTAGAACAGGCACCTTTGCTCTTGATGGCCAGAAAGCTTGGTGTATCATGACTGAGCGAGAGAGATGCTCTGCTTTGTACTGAACCCCATGAGAAGCATGGGAAAGAAGATTTACTGGTGACCCCTGAGATCTGCTCCAAGTCTGAGCAGAAACACTCAACACATTTTCTTCCTTTCTGGATTAAGGTCTCATGTAGTCCAGGGTGGACCCGAACTCAATAAGCAGCCAATGGTGATCTTGTATTTCCGTTCTTCCTGCCTCTATCTCCTGAGTGCTGGGAGAAGTGTGTACTACCATGCATGGTTTATACAGTGCCGGGGATTTGAACCCAGGACTTCATGCATGTCCAGCAAGCATTCTTCCAATTGTGCTACAGCTTTTCCCTCAATTTCTACCCACATTTCGTCATTCTATACCCAGATACTGGATGCCTGGCTATAGGCCATCATCTCACTCCCTGGCCAGGGTGACTGCCGTCCTTGTACTGGCGTCCCACTGTCCCTGGATATGTAACATGCAACACAAGAGTTCTCTAATGTCCCCACATGTGTGGGCCTGCCCATGGGTAGGTCTGCAGAGACCCTGTAAGTGTGTTTGTCTGGTGGCTGAGAGAAAGTTACACACACAAACAGAGACAGAAAAAGATCCACCCAAATTGAACCAACCTATTTAAAAAGTAGTTTTCCTTACATAAATTAAAAGCAACTGTCATTGCAAGGCAGCCGCCAGGGCCAACTGACTTCCACAGGCTGTCTGACAAGAAATCCCAGCCGCCTCCATCTCCTTCGGGGAATGACACTTGACCCCCAGTAGCAGCTACAGCAGTGTGACTGTGGGCAAGTCTCTTAGCCTGGCTGGACCTCTCGACGCTCTTCTGTGAAGCAATATGGTTGTGCTAACCCACACACATGGCCCGACGAGAACAGTGAGGAGTCAAGAGTATCTGCACTATGCTTTTCAGCTTTGGCATTGTGGGTAAGTGTGTGTGTGTGTGTGTGTGTGTGTGTGTGTGTGTACGTGCACGCCTGTGCACGTATGGAGGTCAGAGGTCAACCTTAGGTATCCTTAGCTGTGTTTCCACTCTATTTTATTATTCTTTTGAGACACAGTTTCTCTGTGTAACAGCTCTGACTGTCCCCACTTGTAGATCAGGCTGTAGATCAAACTCATGGAGATCCACCAACCATGCCTGTTTGGTTGGTTTGGGTTTTTTTTTTTTTTTTTTTTTTTTAAAACAGGGTTATCAGGGCTGGAGAAATGGCTCAGTAGTTTAGCATGCATACTGCTCTTTCAGAGGGCCCAAGTTCAGTTCCCAGCACCCATATAAGGTAGAGTTGCTTACAACTGTCTGTAACTCTAGCTCCAGGGGATCTGATGCTCTCTTTGGCCCCTGCAAGTAACTGCACTCATGTGTACATACTCTAACACAAACACGTGTGCATACATGATTTAAAAAAGAATCTGTGTGCATGCTAGCAAGCACTTTACCATAATGAGCCGTATCCCTAGTTCAAGACAGACTGCCCTACTGCAGAGTGTTTAACTATGCAAAGATATGCTGCATTTGTTCATATTATAAACTATTTGCTTACCTATGTAAAGATGTGTTGCTGTTTTACCTTACCTGCCTAAGGCACCTGATTGGTCTAATAAAGAACTGAACAGCCCATTGGTATAGAGGAGACTTCTGGGCAGGGAGAGTAAGTAGGATAGGAATTTAGGCTCGGGAGAAGATAGAAAGAGACACCAGGGGCCATCCAGCCAGACACAGAGGAAGCAGGGAAGTAAGACATACAGAATGAATGTAAGGTTAAAAGACCTAAAGCAAAATGTAGATGACCAGACACAGGTTAAATTAAGTTAAAAGACCTAGTGAGAAAAGCCTCAGTTATGACCAAGCATTCATAATTAATAATAAGTCTCCATGTCTTTACTTGGGAGCTAGTTGGTGGCCCAAAGAAAAATCTGACTGCACTCCTCTTCTGAGCAGAAAGCATCGCCAGTGTAGCAGCTCAGCTCCAGTCATGGGCTGGCTGGAACCACGGCTGTCAGAATGGGTGAAAAAGCCTCTGAGAGCTTGGTAGCCAGGAGAGAGGGAGGCTCCTTGGGATGAGCAGAGCAACGGGTCTCCCTGTCTCGTGTGAAATAACTGACTTCAAGGCTGCGAGGAGAGAAAGGATGACGAGACAGGTCTGCTTCAACGCCCTCTGCTAAGCATTGGTAACAAACGAGGGCTCGTTTCGCTGGACATGGCAGTGCAAGCCTGTAATTCCAATGCTCAGATGGTAGAGGCAGGACGGCTGCAAGTTCGAAGCCAATGTGTGCTACAAAGGTTTTGTCTTTAACGAAACAAAAAGACCAACAAAAGGGCTGGGCCAGCTGAACCGCACAGATCAGGCTGGGAATCGGGAGAATGATCCCACGACAGCTTGGGTCAGCTAAGAGGGAAGAGACTCACCAGTTTGGAAGAGGTTCAGTTCGCACTCCAGGTAATCAAACATCTCCACCGTAAGCTGAAAACTAACACAAGAAGAAACAGAAATCAAAGTCTATAGGCCTGAGCCCCCATCCATGCCCAATTGAACGCTGAAGATGAAATCCATGACCTTGTATTTGCTAAGCAAGCGTGATAATGCTAAGCTGCATCCCCAGCACCTCACTGGGGCATTTTAGGCAAGTGTTTAGGTAAGAATTCTAACGCTGAACCACACCCTCAGTCACCAAAGCCAAGTTTTTATACATCTCAGTGCTGTCCTGCTTCCCCACCCTTAGGATTCCCATGTGAGCTCAAGGGCAATCTTGCAGGTACAGGCATATGCTCCAGCTTCCTTCCAAGCATCTATCATGAACGTTATTTAAAGACTAAGCCTCTCAAGCTTCCACCAGGGAAACGAGAGATGACAGGGCTTGGTCTGGGTTAGTGGAGACTGGGACAGAGAAATCATGTTGAAATACATATCGGTAGGACTCCAGACAGAAACAGCACTAGCGGTAAGTGGCCTTGAGACCAAGTCACCCAGGGGACTCATTCCTCACCCCAGCCCCTGTGTCGTACCTTCAGGCCCTCTTACCAATTCCAGGAACAAAAAACCAAATCACAAAGGCTTACTTCCCTATTGGGTCTGGAGCCCGATAGCCACTTACAAGTTGTTGACATCACTTTCTCCGGCTTCATCCAGCTGCCGGTCACTCATCTGGAGGTTGCCCGGGAACCTGGGATTCTGGAAGGAAGTTTGGGTGAAGGGAGATGATAAAATGAAGCACAAGAGGGCAGGGGATGCAGATAAGTGGGTGGAGTGTTGACGATGTCACTCAGGGCAGAGCGCTTGTGTGAGGGCACAACTTAGACATGGAGTGGTTCCCCTGCATGTACAAAGACCTGGGTTCGACCCTAGTACCTCAGGGGGAAAAGGGCCCCATACAGCCCAATGAGACCAGTGTAAACACAGGTTGCCTATATTAAATACATGTAGCAGGTCCTATGTCAACTATACACTTCTGAGGGAGGCAGGATCAGTCTGCATGACCTCACAAACACAGACCCTTTAATGGCTCCCAAGAGAGACCACCCACTGTCTACTACCCATCATCAGAGCTGAAGGTCCCGCTCTTTCACGAGTCCTGGAACGTTCTAAGCATGTCCTCCCAAGGTGCAATGAGAATCAGCGTGCGAGCATGTTTCGCAGGCGGTCGTCTGGGATCCCTGGGCAGTAGACACTCACTTATCACTGGTCTTTTCTGATTCCCATTCAATCTCCTCAGCCTTGGCCTCTTACCAAAGCTACTACAGTGAGCTCATGGGAATCTAGGAGAGACACATTCTCAAGTGTTTTGTTTTTTATTGTTTGTCTGCTTTGAGGCATGGTTGCTGTGGAGCAAGCTTTGCACAATTGGTTAATAAAGAGCTGACTGGCCTATAGATGGGCAGGAAGAGATTAGGTGGGAGGTCAGACTAGGAGGATGCTGGGAAGAAGGGCGGAGTCTACGGAGTTGCCAGCCAGACACAGAGGAAGCGGGAAAGAGAACAAAATGAGTTAACAAGCCATGAGCCACGTGGTAGAACTTAGATAAGAAGTCTGGGTTAATTTAAGTTGTAAGAGCTATTGGCGAGCATTTTTAATTAATATTGAGTCTCCATCATGGTTATTCAGGAACTGGCAGGCGGGAAAGAAAAGTCCACGTACACAGGCTGACCTGAAACTCACCATGTAGCTAAGGACAACTTTGAACTTCTGATCCTCCTGCCTCTCCCTCCTGAGTGCTGGAATTAGATGTGCACACTATACTAGGTTTAAGCAGTGCTGGCATGAAAACCAGGGCTTCATGCGTGCTAGGTGAGTGCCTGCCCATTTAGCTACATTTCCTTCTGGATTCAAGCAATTCTCCTGCCTCAGCTGCGGAGTTAGCCAAAACACCATGGGACATGGAAACAGATCATAGAAAGACAGGTGGCCATGCATCATGAGCTTCTAAATTCCAGACTGAAAACCTGGACATGGAGCTAGAACAAGGCGAGAACCCATTTATTTTTGCTTTATCATGTGCTATTTAGTTTATTATTTATTTTTGGCTTGTTTTGACCTGAATTTGATGCCTGGGACTACATGATAGAAAGGGAGAGTAAACTATTTTTCTCCCCTAATACTTTAATAAAGAGTACATTTTATTTATTATTTTTATCTTCCAAATGATTTTTTAAAAATGATTTATTTTTATTTTATGCATATGAGTGTTTTCCTGCAAGTATGTATATACACCATGTGTATGTGTGCTGCCCACAGAGTGTAGAAAAAACAGCCTTGGATCCCCTAGAACTGGTGTGAAGATGGCTGTGAGCTGCACTGTGGGGTGGGTGCTGGGAAATGAACCCTACTCCCTTTGAAAAGATAGCCTGCGCTCTAAACCTCTGAGCTGTCTTTCCAGCCCTGAAAGAACCGACTCTTCTAAGTTGTCCTCTCACATTACCTCCCCAAATAAATAAAAATATAATTCAAAACAAAAAGCCAAGGCGGGCTGGATTGGTGGCTCAGCAGTTAACAGCGCTTGCTGGTCTTTCTGGCACAGGAGGTGCATTAAGTTCCTAGCACCCCATGGAAGCTCACAGCTGTCTGTCTATAACCCTCCTTCTAGAGGATCTGCGCCCTCTTCTGCATGCATATGGTGCACATACATATATGTAGACAATACATACAAACTATAAATAAATCTTAATTATATACATAAGTAAAGGTTTGCCATTTTCCTCAGGAAACACCACCCACTAGATGACTTGTTATCCTATTTGTGAAATGCAGAACAAATGACTCTGCGAAAGGTCACAGGTCAAAAAGTCACCCTGGGGTCCCTGATCATCACTGTTCTATCAGCTGACTTCCCCTTAGAGTTGGGCCACAGCACTCCCACTTCTTGAGGCTCCAGACTATTCCCTAGAGTGATAATAAAGATCAAGTAGGGTCTGGAGGGAAGACTGGGGGGAGGGCTTGGAGGAGGGATGGGGCGAGGGAGCAGGTGCCATGGAGAGCGGCAGGTGCTCACTTTGGTGTGGTACTCCATCCTTGTTCTCAGCAGTTTGAGGTAGATGCTGCACAGCTGTCCGTACCCCTCGCTCAGGTGGCCCTGGGGAAGAAGAAAGCTGCATCAATACTGAGGCAGCCTTTTCCTCGGGCTACTGGTGGCTCAGTGGGTGAGAGCGCTTGATGCCAGGCCCGACAACCTGAGTCATGACCCACCCCTGGGACCCACGCGGTGAAGGGAGAGGACTGACTGCCACAGGCGAGGTGTCGCCTGTATGAGTGTTAAGTCACACACGTGCCCCCCATCCCAACACATGTAATAAATATAATTAGGGTTAGAAAGATGGTCAGAGGATAAAGGAGCTTGCCACCACGCCTGACGACCCCAGGGTCCCACATGGTAGAAGAAAGACCCTGATTCCTGCAGCCATGCTTGGTGTCAGGCATGTACCCCTCCCTTACACATACACACACACACACACACACACGCACACACGCATGCACACACAGACACACACACGTAAAAATAAAAATATAAAGGGTGCGCACCCCAGCGCTCCCACAGATATTCAAGTTCGGTTTCAAGTCCTGTGTTAAACCAGCCCTGGGAGGGAGACCCAGCAGACTCCCCTGGGGCCTTCCCAGAATTCCTAAACCTCCAGCTGAGAGCTTAATTGAGATCAATCTCTGCGGAGGCAAACACAGGTTCTCTCTGGAGGAACCTGTCTTTGTTACTGACTTCAAAGAATTGTGTTCCCAGGAAAACAGAGTAGCTCCCAAAGGAGGTGGGGGAGAAGCACAAAAAGAAAATGTGAAGAATAACTAAAATTCACTAGAAATACCAGATGGCCAAGCAGATCTTTAAGAACGGATGATAGGATTAGAAAAGCAATATATGGCATGGCTCTCATTACTATAGCTAAACTATTTGCCAGGCAGAAGACCTTGTAAAGACCTGGAGCAATGGCTAGGCAGTCCAGAGCGCACAGTGCTCGCTGCTCTAGCAGAGGACCTGAGTTCAGTTCCTCACTCACAACTGCCTGTAACTCTAGCCCCAGTAAACGCGACGCCCTCTTTTGGCCTACATCAGCACCCTGTGTGCACACAGACGAATAAAAATAAAAATATTTTTTAAAAAGCTTTTGTAAAGGAAGTCAGGTGTGGCTGTACATCTGCAAGCCCAGCACCAAGGAGGCTGAGGCAGAAGGGTCTGGAATTGAAGGCTAGCCTGGGTTACAATGTGAGACCCAATGAATCCATAAGAAAGCAAGGAATGAGATAAAAAAATAATAATAACAAGAAGGGCTGGGGATGTGGCTCAGCCTGTAAGTAGCTGCTGAGAGAGCCCAGGGGGCTGGGGCTGCATCTTCAGCACTCACAGAGTGAATTTGCAGTCCCAGTGCTAAGGAGGCAGAGACGGAGAATCCCCAGGGCTCACCGGACAACCATCTCTACCTAATCGGTGAGCCACAAGTTCAGTGAGCTCATGAATCAAAAAATGAATGTAAGGTTTGGTGTAGGGTGATGTCAGAAGCCTTTAATCCCAGCACTAGGGAGGCAGAGGTGAGAGGATCTCAGTGAGGCAAGGTCAGCTTGGTCTCCACCGTGAGTTCTAGGACAACCAGGACTACATAGAGAGACCCAGTTTCAAAAACCTAAAAAGCAAACAAAAACCAACAAGGTGAACAGCTACTATGGAGCAATGCCTGGGGCTCACTGTATGTGTGTTCGCATACAAATGCATATCCTAAGCCAGGCGGTGGTGGCGCATGCCTTTAATCCCAGCACTAGGGAGGCAGAGACAGGCGGATCTCTGTGAGTTCGAGGCCAGCCTGGTCTACAAGAGCTAGTTCCAGGACAGGAACCAAAAGCTACAGAGAAACCCTGTTTTGGAAAAAAAAAAAAAGCATATCCTACCACCTCCACCCCTCCTGTGTTCCCACTCCACCCTCCCATGGCATGCCCAACCCTCAGGAGGCTAAAGTTCTAGGCTAGCCTGGGCTATGTATGGAGACCTCAAACAAATGATAAAACTTTAATTTTTTTGATCTTATTTTATTAGGTGTATAGGTGTATTGTGGGCATAGAGGTCTGTGTATGCATGTAAGCGTGTCTGAGGAGGCCGGAAGAGGTCACTGGATCTCTGGAGTTAGAAGTAGTTGTGAGCTATCACATGGATGCTGGGAATTGAACTCTGGTCCTCAGGAAGAGCAGCCAGTGCTCTTAACTTCTGAACCACCTCTCCAGCCCCGAAACAAAGAATTGAAAGTGCAATGTATTGTGACCACAAAGGGCACAAGCACAATGACAAGTCCCTGTGAGGGACCCTAACTTCATGACATGGAATTCATGTCCCCAGGACAAGCTCTGGGGACTTGGGATTTGCCTGTAGCTTCCGACATCTTCGGCTCGCCCCGCACAGAAGCTAAACAATCAGAGATGGGCTGGCTGGTGATGTGATTTAGTTGGCAGGGTGCCTGCTTCCCCCACCACTGTATAAACTGGACGTGGCCATGCATGCCTGCAATCCCAGCACACAGGAAGGGGAGACAGGAGGATCATGAGTTCTAAGTCAGCCTTAGCGACATAGTCGATTTGGGGCTAGCCTGGATTCTTTGAGACACTGTCTGAACCAAACCAAACCAAGAAGCTAACTTGTTACATCCCATGCTCTTGATGATATGCTATGAGGATTAGGGGGTCCCCTGTGCACCCCCACACTTACCCACATCCTGCTCATGTCGCTCAATTCATTTTTGTATCTCAGAGAGTCTTTTAGCACCTAGAAAAGAAGAGAAGAACCATGAGAGAGACACGGGTGTCCAGAGGACAATCTTCCTGGGCTGAGGTGGGGAAGAAACCCATGAGAAGGGATGGCCCCACCTCCTATGGGAAATCAAAGACCAGGGCTATGGCAGCAGACAGCAGTCTCTTTTTCCACTGTGTGTGTGTGTGTGTGCGTGTGTGTGTGTGTGTGTGTGTGTGTGTGTGTGTGAGAGAGAGAGAGAGAGAGAGAGAGAGAGAGAGAGAGAGAGAGAGAGAGAGAATGGGTGCAGGGGCCACAGATAAGAGGACAACTTTCAGAAATCATTCTCTCCTTCCACCTTGGGCTCCTGGGATTATCTTGTGGCCTGTCGATTGCTCTTGATAGGGGACAGGGAGAGGTGAATGTGGTGCTTCCATATTCTATATTACAAAGAAACACGTACTTCATGCTGTTTAGCATAATCAGTACATACACAATGTTGCTGGCTTCATACAGTTGGAGTGTAACACCGCCTCCTGGCCCAGGTGCCTCTGGCACAGGCTGACACTAGCAGACACTAACCTGACCAAGCCCATCAATAAATATTTGAGCCCAGACACCCACAGAACGAGAGAAGGGTGCAAGGGATGATAATGAGAGGCACAAATATCAGAAGTAAAGTGGGATTTCTTGATCAGAAATATGGGGGATAACCCCAGCAAATGGGCAAGGCTGAACCCTGAAATGATTGACAACCTTTGTCTCCACCCCCTTCTCCCTATATAATCTGCTGGCTTAAGATGAGCTAGGAGACACGGTCTTCTCTAATTCCTGGCTCTGTTCCTGGAGCAGGAGAGATGACTCCGCAGTTAAGGGTGTTTCACAGCTCCTGCAGAGAGCGCTTGTTTCCCAATACCCACACTGGGAGGCTCACAACATCCTGGAATTCCAGCTCCAGTGGATCTGGCGCCCCCTTTTGGCCTCGTCAGGCACCTGGATGCATGTGACATACACTCACATAGACACACACATTTAAATAAAAATATATCTTTAAAGCTTCCATTCCCGTCTTTGCTCGCTGGCATCTGTCACGGGCCATGGGCGACAGGAGCGGAAATCAGTTTCCCGTTCCCTGCATGCGCCCCTGGCCTCCCCTGCTGCCCCAGGGACTCACGTTTGGATGTCCATCGCGGAGGAGTTTGTGGAAGACGTGACAGAACTTCCAGCACAGCATGGCGTTGCTGGACAGAGGCAGTCGATTAACCACGGACCAAAATGTCTGCGCCCCTTTCTCATGGTGGGTGCCCAGGATGCACGGTGAGAGGGGAGTCAGGGAAAGCAAGGGCCTGGCGCGTGGTACTGGCAAGGAGGGTGGGGCGCTGCTCACCGCTGAGACCCCACAGTTCTACACCTATGCTCTGACAATTTGGAGGCTGAGGGTATTAAAATATCTTGTTCTCTATAAGTTTCCCCGAAAAAGGAACTTTTTAAAAAATTACATTTTCATTTATTTATGTATTATAATTATGTGTATGTGCATGTGTATGTGTGGGAACTCATATACCCAGGTACATGTGTAGAAGATGGGGGGGGGCACAGCTTGTTGGAACCAGTTCCATGCGGGGGGTCTCGAGGACTGAACTCGGGTCCTCAGGCTTAACAGCAACCTCCGTTACATCTGCTGAGTCATCTTACCGCCCCTCCCTTGTCGTTTTGAGACTGGGTCAACACTGAAGTGCCCCAGCTGTCCTGGAATTAGTTTGTTAATAGAGGATGACTCTGAACTTCTGATCCTCCTAGCCCCACCTCCAGACTTCTGGGATTACAGCTACATAGAACACACCTGGTTTATGCCAGGCTGGGGCTGGCTGGGACCAAGGACCCTGGGCATGTTAGGCAAGCAGCCTCCCAGCTGAGCCACACTCCCAGCCCCCTCAACTCAGTAGCCCAGGCTGGCCTCCAACTATGACAATACCCCTGCTTCATCCTCCCAGTGGTCGAGATTAGTGTCACCATTGTCCTCAGGAATGGAAGTGTGTTGAGAGGAACAGCCCATCTAATCTGCACATGTGACTCTGGGCTAGGGGTGGCCTTGGCTGGGTAGGGCTCTTGGGGCCATTGCTACCATCTAAAACAATAATAATTTATTTATTTGTATTTTATGTCCATCGGTGTTTTGCCTGCATTTATGTCTGTGTGACGGTGTCGGATCCCTGGAATAGGAGCTGCAGACAGTTGTGAGCTGCCATGTGGGTGCTGGGAATTGAACCTGGGTCCTTTGGAAGATCAGCCAGTGCTCCTAACCCCTGAGCCATCTCTCTCCAGCGCATGGCTACCACCTTAACACGGGGTTCCCTCTTGTGATCACTGTTCACGTGGATGCCATGCGTGTGTGGGCGTGAGCGGCGCGTGCCACAGTACATGTGTGGATGTTGGAGGACAGCCGTGAAGACAGGCTTCCTTGGCCCACTGTGCTTTCTGAGAACCAGACGAAGGATGTCCGCTGTGACCAGCTTCTGCCAGCTGAGCCAGCTTAGGAGGCTTTCTCAGACATTATTACAGTGAGGGAGAGAAGCTGGGCATGGTGGCACACACCTACAATCCCTGTGGGATCGAGAGCAGGAGTATCCCAGTTCTGAGGCCAACTTGTAGGACACAATGAGGCCCTGTCTCACAACCACCACCATCAAAAACCATCAAAAAGTGGAGGCTGGGGGGAAGCTCAGCACGGAGAGCACAGCCACAGGCAGGGACATCGGGAGAGTGCAGAGTGGACATGACCAGACTGAGCTGGGCCGTGCGGGGAGAGGGGAGAATAGATGAGCTGAAAAGGCCCGGTCACCAAAACGGTGGGGTTGTATAGGGAAGGGCAGCCCAGCATCTGGGCTAGAGAAGTTTAGGGGTGGGGAGTGGGTTTGCCAGCCAGGACTAAGTAACAGGCAGGGACTGGGGGATTCTGGGAGAACCTGGTGGCCAGGTTGCTTTAGTGTGTTAATGGACCCCTCAATTAGTCATCTGTCCTGGGCTGAAGACTTAACTAACTAAATACAGAGAAAAGGTCTGGGTTGGATGGCCTCCTGGGTCCCTGGGGCCTTGCCAGGCTCTTGGGTGTCTGAGACCAGTGCTCTCTGGGTCTGTAGTTAGACCGGAAGTGGCTTCCATCGGCAGCCCTCTGTCCCAGGCAAGAGTTACTCTTCCTGTTGGCAGGCGAGAAGCCTCCTCCTGACCTCAGTTCCCAATATTTGACCCCCCTTCCAGGGTCGGCCTCCCAAGGATCACATCCAAAAGGATATTCCTGGCATGTTTTTCCTTCACAGCCACTTCCTGCGTATTAATGGCTTTATTGACGCTGACAGTCTGCAAAAACAAGATGGGGGAGGGGAAGGAGATGAAATAAATAAGCCTCTGAGAGTGGCTAAGACCCCCCCAACTTCCCACTCCTTCCTCCCCTCCCCCCCTCCAATGACCCTTGGGGTTTCTGATTGCCCTTAGACCATCCAGGGCCCTCTAGATCCTCTGCGGGTACCCCGCTTGGGGGTCAGACGGGGGGGGGGCAGAGGTGGGCAGTGCTCCCAGACCAGCTGTCCCAGGCTGTCCCAAGGGAACAGGCTTTGCTGCCTGGCATTGGCTGTGCCCAGCTGCTGCACCCGCCTGCTACTCGCTGGCTTGGCACAACAGCCTGGTAATTAGGGGGCCACACAAAGGAAGGCTTTTTCATCCCCGGGGAAACATTATTCCTCAGAGTACAAGAGGAAGAGATGCTGGTGTCGGGGAGCCACTGTGGCCTGAGACCAGCCAGCCATCCCTCGGCCATTTCCAAACCTTCCCACTGAGGGCTGGCGAGAGGGATCGGTGGGTAAAGGTGCTTGCACGGCAAGCCAGGCAACCGGGGTGCTCCTCCCAGGACCTCCAGGAAGATGGAAGGGGAGATCCCAATCCACAAGTGTTCCCCGACCTTCACGCAAGAGCTGAAGCAAGTACTTTTCCCCCAAATAATAAACCAAACAAAACTCCCCTGGCCCTCCATCCACTCTTGGTCATCTTCCAGCTCGAGGGCAAATCCTTTTTCCTTCCTTAATTACATGGAAAAACATGAAATTATTCCTTTCCTGTTGTTTTCAAAATCAAGACCCTGGTGCTAATTTTAACAGAGTCCTAGACCCGTGAATAACGTGCACAAATGGCATCATATCATGGAAGCTAGTTGGTAGCCGGGATTTCTTAAAAGGTTTATTATTTTGTAAGATTATGTGCATGTGTGTGTCTGGCTGCGGGTATGTGTACGTATGAGTGCGGACGCTAGGAGAGGCCAGGGGCATTGGGGCTAGCGCTGTGAACCACCTGATATGGGGCTCTGGGACCTGAACTCAGGCACTCTGCAAGAACAGTATATGTGCTCTCAAACCCTGAGCCACCATCCAAGCCTCTGTTGTTTGACTTCTCTAAAAAGGTTTTATTTATTTATTTATTTTATGCATTGCGGGGGTGGGGGTGGGGGGGTGGGGAAGGATGCCTGCCTGCCAACTGCCAAAATGCACGTAGGTCAGAGGCCAACTCGTGGGAGTTGATTCTTTCCTTCCACCACGTGTGACCCAGGGATCAAACAGATCACAGGCTTGGTGCAGGCACCCCCAGTCACTGGGCCCAATGCAGGCTCTGTTTAGCTAGCTGTCTGTTTATTTCCAGACACAGCTACCACCAACCATTGGGCCCTCATTCCCTGGATTATTCTGAAGCAAATCATTGCCACACTCTAGATCAAATCAATTTACCCGCCAATCACCTCTCTGAGTGCCTATGAGAAAGACTCACGGGTTCCCACTGTGAGGGAGAGGACAGTAGCTGTAAGGACAATGCCACTGGACGCACTGCTGCTGGGGCCCACAGAAAGCTCTTGAGCTGTGCAGGGGCTTGCTATAAATGAGGTGGGTTTTTTCAGTGTTGTATTTAAGGGGTCACTGCCTCCAAGCCTGGGTCCAGCACAACTGTGAAAGACCTGATCTGGCACTGGGTTTGGTGAAGAAGCTGGATCTTTGTTGCTTTTCTCATTCCTAACAAAAGCCACAGGAGGGAGAAAAGGTAGCTCATGGCTCCTAGGCTGAGGGTCCAGTCCATCATGGTGGGGAAGGCATGGTAGCTGGAGGTGGGGCAGCTGGTCACATTGTATCCACAGGCAGGAAGCAGAGAGAGATGGACGCTGGCTCTCAGCTCTCTCCCCTCCTCAACCCCAGACAGGGTTTGTCTGTGTAGCCCTGGCTATCCTGGAACTCACGCTGTAGACCAGGCTGGCCTCCAACTCACAGAGATCCACCTGCCTCTGCCTCCCAAGTGTTGGGATTAAAGGTGTGTGCTGCCACAGTGGCCACCACCACCCAGCAGCTCACTTTTTACACAGGCCAATGGGACGGTGCCGCCCACATTGAGAGTGGGTTTTCCCATCTAAATTAACTCCATTCTGAAACGCCCTCATAGACATGTGCAATAGATACTAACTCCCGAGTCAGCAAGATGGCTCAGTGGATTAAGCGTGCTTGCCACCAAGCCCCAGACCTGCACTGTAGGACAGCAATAACTCCCATAAACTGTTCTCCGATCGTCAAACGTGTGTGCACGCACCGCACTCCCACCACACATGCACAACAAATAAACGTAAAAGCCACTTGGGGCATTTATAGGTTCCCCCGACCTAGCTGTTACCCGACGTCCTCTCTTGGAGCTGGGACGCTCACAGGAGCGCATTCAGTGTTACCGGTGTACCTGGCGTACTTCCAGAAATATTCACCGGTGCGGAGGCCCCACCATGGCTCTCGGCTATAGCTCAGCTTCTGCTCACACCGCCTCTCAGGCCTCTGAGACACAAGGCGGGTCTGAGCTTTAACATTCTCCAGTTTTGGGTTTTGCTGAGACAGAGTCTCATTTATTCCAAGCTGGCCTTGAATTCACTATGTAGCAGAGAATGGCCTTGAACTTCTTATTTTCCTTCCTCTACCTCCTGAGCGCTAGGATTACCAGTGTGCCCCACTGTGCCCCATTTATTTGGTGCTTCGGATGAATGCATGACCTCACACAGACTAGGCAAGTAAGCCACCAACTAAGCTGTATCCCTAGCTCCCCTCCCCACAGTTTTGAGACAGAAGCTTACTAGTCCAGGCTGGCTTTGAACTCACAATCCTCAAGTCTTCTCAGGATTACAGATATGTGCCACCATGTCTGGTTCATGCTAGGCTCTTTGAAGCAAGCTGGCTGTGGCCAGGCTGAGAGGTGCTAGCCTGTCATCCCAGCTACTGGAGGAAGCTGAAGCACGAGGCTCCTACGTTCTAGGTGCACCTGGGCTACAGAGTGATTTAAGGCCATGCCAGGCAATATAACATCCTGTCTCAAAAGAAGGGAGTGGGGGCGCCTCAGAGGCACCCAAACCCTTGATAATTCTGGGGTAGAGGTTCCTGTTAAGACCAGTTTGCCCAGATGACGCCCTCATGCTCCATCCAACCTCACACAAACTTCTACATCTATCTATATTGCAAAGACTACATCTTGGGGCTGGTGGAAATGAATGGCTCAGCAGGAAAAAATGCTTGTCGCTAAACCTGACGACCTGGGTTCAATCCCCAGAACCCAGACTAGACTCTTGCATATCGTCCTGTGAACCCCATATGCACGCCTTGGTAAGCTTCCACCTCTCATAAATAAGCAAATGTCACTTTAAAAGACCTAAAGGCTACGTTTTTACCATTTTCTTACACTTGTCAAGCTATAGCCACGCAAGCATGAACCCGGAATTCAACCCTCAGCGCCCACATAAAATAAAGGTGTGGTGCACATTCTCATAACTCCATCATCCCATCTGGGGAGTGTGATACAGAGGCAGAGATGGCGGATTCCTAAAGTTCACTGGTCAGATGATCTCCGGGTTCAAGGGCAGACGCTATCTGGATAAAAATAAGACGGGGAACCACCTAGCAAGGCACTTTAAGTTGACTTCTGGCTTCCACATGCACACACCATTATGAACACGTCTATATATTACACATACACATATGAACATAAACACATCACACACACAACACAGATCCAGAGTAGACACTCTGGCTTCTCCTTCTATATGCCCCCAAACCTAAGGCAGGACAGGATGGGGGTCCCCAAGCCTCGACGCTACCTGCTCCCCCATACCACTCAGTTGCTGCCCAGACTCGGAGAGAAATCATTTGGTCTGGACGGATCTGGTTCTGCAGGCGGGTGCCTGTGTGAGCAGAGGGAGGGGGGACTTGCAGGGGCTTGGCGTCTCACCTCTGGAGGGGGGTCTAGGTTCGAGAACATCCTCTAAGAACACCCTGTTCTCTCTACTCCGCTGGAGTCACACGGGACCTAAGGCCAGCAGCGGCTCTCCTGAAAGAAGAGCATTGTACAACACTTCCTGGCCCAGCTGGCCCTTGTGTCCCCAGCTGGTCCCCAAGAGCCAATTATCAGCAGGCGTTGCGGAAGGGAGGCTTTCTCTTCACTTCTCTTCCTCCCTCTCTAGTCTCTCTATTTACAGGCTCCCTCCGGGCACACCAGCCTGGATGTAGCCAATAGGAAGCTTTTGGGTGTTGCTACTAGAGGGGGCAGTGGAGCTTGGGCTGGCTTGCGGGACTGACAGGGCATTGTCCAGTCACGCACACAGCTCTGGGCAGCAGCCCAGCCTTTGGGCTACCAAGGCCAGGCTAGCGTGCAAAGGTTAGCAGGGGTCGGCAGAGAGGATGTGCCTTGGGTTGGGATGCAGCCTTCAGGCAGGGGGCCAGAGGAAGACCAACTGCTGAGGCCAGAAAGAACACCCAAGAAAAGGGCAGGGAAGAGCAAGAACAGAAAGCAAAATAGAAGAAATGCAAAAAGCAGGAACTGGCATTGCAGCTCAGTGGTAGAGCCCCTGCCTAGAATCCCCCAGTGAGGGGCTGGGGTGTTGCTCAGTGGTAGAGCCCCTGCCTAGAATCCCCCAGTGAGGGGCTGGGGTAGGTCATAGCCCAGTAATAGAGTACTTGCCTAGAATCACCTGGTAGAGGATTGGGGGCTGGCTCAGTGGTACAGTGCCTGTTTTGCATACCAGAGACCCTCAGTTCAATTCTTATTACACAAAAATAAAAAAAGGGGCTGGAGAGATGGCTCAGTGGTCAAGAGCCTGGCTGCTCTTCCAGAGGACCCAAGGTCTGACTCCCAGCACCTACATGGTGGCTCACAACTGTCCAGTTCCCTCCTCTGGTCTCTGCAGGCAGCAGGCGCACACATGGTGCAAATGCAGGCAAAACACCCATATACGTAAAAAAAAAAAAAAAAAAAAAAAGCATATCCTACCACCTCCACCCCTCCTGTGTTCCCACTCCACC